GTCCGCCGCCAGGAATCCTTCGGCTTCCAGCCCCATGGCGGCAGTTGCGGGCACCTGCGCCCAGCGATAACAGCGATCTTCGAGTTCAAAGTACCGTTTGATGAATTTCTTGCGGTAAGCACGTTGTCAGGACGCTCATGACCGTCAGTATAATACGTCTTGGTGTTCTCACGGTATTCAAATCCCAAGAGCCGCAACCAACGCCATGCAGTGGAGACAGAGATCGACTTGAGACGAACCATGGCGAGGAACTGATCCTTGTTGAGTGGCTTGATGGCAGAGAGAGCCAGCTCGTGATTACACTTCTCCAAGCAGTGAGGGACTACGGTGTCAATCAGGTAACGCTGGGCAAACTCGCAGGTGAGTTTTTCCGGATTTTTCTTGCAATGACGATACAGCATATGGGAGCTTCTGGGAACACACTGAAAAACTCAACGCTTCCTTTGCCATTTGTCCTTCGAGGAGGCATGAAACCCTCGTGTCGCCTGAAGTATCGTTGGATTTCGTACACTACTCGCCAATGGTTGTATGCGCGATTTCCACCATTTCGGCAAGCCTCGACGGCAAGATTGATGCAGTTTTCCCAAGTCCAGTCATACCGGGGAATGGCTTCAAGAGCGATTTCGTATGCTCTGCAGAGGAAGATTGCCTTTGTTCGTAATGGATTGTCTTGCACTGACGGAGAGTTCTTCGAATTCCTGGTCCGTACCACGAGGATTGACGGCATCTCCCTCCAGTCATCAATAGCGGTACGTAGCTTTTGGATACGCTCATCCAAACAATCTTTGACGGACTGATTCCGCAACGGTTTGAAGACATTCCGAAACTTCTCCATCTCGAGCCTCTCCGGCCCAATCTTTGGAGGAGCACGCCGTAGAGTCCTACGGGCAGCGCCAACGGAGCCCACAGAGGCAACCACGCTTCGACAGAATGAAGCATCATCAAGAAACGAGTCGTCATCATTGGCTGTGGACGGACCAGGAATTATTTTGGGTACGGAGTCGTCATCTTTGGGCACAGAGCCGTCATCCATGAATATGGAGTCGTTATTCTGGAGCAGAGAGACGTCTTCTTCGAGCTGAGAGACGGTATCATCAGGTAAGGAAACATCGTCTCCGAGCACAGGATCCACGCCATCTAAAGTGACCTTTGGGCTATTCTCTCGTAATTGCTCCCATGATTTTCGCCTCGGTTGTCGACCCGCAGTATCGCCGTTCTTGACGGCAGTGGGCTCATATTCGACGGGATTTGGTTTCGAGCTACCAGGAGGATGGCCGGAACGAGAGCGAGTACGATGGGCGTGCGGTGTCTCTTCCTTGTTTTGCTTTTTCGAACGGGGCGGAGTCTGTGCCGTCTCTGATGATTGCCTCTTGCGCTCATCGTCGTTTGGTTGCGGTAAGTTTTTGTTCGACTCGACTACAACGGTTGTTCCCCCTAAATTCCCCGTGCTAACAGTTGTGGAGTTATTGCTTTCTTTTTGGCTACTTAGAGTTCCCCTTGGCTGTCGCCTCATAGCCACCTCCAGTTTGCCATCCATCTCTCCAAGACTAGGAGATCGCTGCCTTGTTGATCTGGATCTCTCTCCATATGATTTCACGGCAAGAATGTCAGGATGAGAGCCAACCTCAATTTGATGAGATTTTAAGAGTAAGTCTTGCCATAACTCTTCCTCTTTGTTGAGTGGAAGAGATGGTGCTTCCTTAGATCTAGAGAGGAATATTAACCTTCTCCTCTTTTTCTTTGCTTTGGTGCCATCAATCGCGCTCATAACGGGGATCAGCGAAGAGGACCACGCTGACAACAAATATCACAAAGAACCGGCCAAGGCCGACTTGGATGAGGATGGCAACATCAAGGAAGGACATGAACGGTGGATCTTGTCACGGCTCATGGCGAATCGTCCTGACTTTGCCAGTGAAATGACCGATCTGGAACACCTTGCGAAAGAGCTCTCAGACGGAAACTGCACTGTCACCGTTGTCTTCACGCCAAAGTACCATCCAAACATTGCCGGTGAAGGAGTCGAAGACACTTGGGGCTTCTCCAAAAGATACATTCGTCGCATGCCAATGCACCGCCGGATCAACTTCAAGAGTTTCATCGCAGTCGCCAACGAGGCTCTCCGCATGAATGATGCAGCAAGAACCATGCGTTTCCGCCGCAAGTGCAGGAAGTACATGCTTGGATATCTGTCGATCAACAACGAAGTCATGCATGTGCCGGAAGAAGGAAGCGTAATGTCCTTCAAGGATCAGCTTGACAAATACGCCAAGGAGTATTACAAGCCCACCGAAGCTCAGATCAAACAACACGGCTTGAATATCACCAAGCGCACACGCAGAAAGAAGCCACAGATTGGTCCCAGTGTCACTCGTCGCAATTTCAAGACAACTGCGGAATGGGAGATTGTTGAAGCCTATTGGTTGGGCTATGATCGAATCAAGCAAGCAGAGGCACGCCAACCAAAGACTGTTCAAGACCGGTTGGAAGTATCTAGGACGGAAGAAGTGGACATGGTTTCCATTCTGAAGGAGAGACTTGTCCACAGATCAAACTTGGATACAGGCTTGGGCTCCATTGAAAATGAGTTGGAGATCTGTCTGGCCAGGAAGGCTGTTGTGGAAGAGGATGATCTTGCTGATACTGAAGATACCACTCCTTTCTTTGGTTGGGATGAAGAAGGAGGAGAGGGAGAACAAGAATAGATAATACATAGTAGTAGCCATTCAATATGGAAGTCTCTTCTTGTCGCGTCGTTCGCTCCGTGAAAGCAGCCAGTCATCGCGTCAAACGGAAGCTCCGTGGAAGAGCCAGTCACCAGTCATTGATCGATCGGCCATGGTCGCTCCGTGAAAGAGGCTCCGTCAATCCATCGGCCGATCGATCGAACGAACGAACGAACGAACGAACGAACGGCTGCCGCTGCCACTGCCGCTAGCCAACCAAGAGGAGCCTGTCATGGTGGTGAGTAGTAGCCTTTGTTAAGAGGAGTAGCCGATGTAAAGAAGAGGAGGAAGCATCATCTTGAAAGAGTAAAGAAGAAGAGGTATCGAAATAATGAAAAAGAAGAGGTGTACGAGTGGCTTGGATCGATCGATCGATCCGAGTGATGTCAGTTGAGATTAAGGTTAAGGCTAAATGTCCCTTAAGTCTTTTCGCGGAATGTTCCAGGACGTTCCGGGTCGCGTACCGGCAGCCGGCTTGCGTTTGCGTCAATAGCTTCGATACAGCCTGTACAGTCGTATCGTCCTTTTATTTAAAACTGCTGCTGCTCTGTCTTCTTCCAAGGATCCCTAATCAAACCCTGCTCAAGGGCACATTTCTTCGGATTCACTACATCAGAATACAGTATCACTTGCTAAGGTTCCAATGTAATAGCACTCTCCAAAGCATTGTTGCAATGAAATCTTGACTTCCTGCGTTGATCATTGTGTTCCCGCAACTGTGGATACCGGTACAGGTATCACCCAATAAAAGTAGCAACCGACTTTTTGTTTTGGGGGAACAACCGGCCTTTAAATGAAAATTCCAAAAAGCTGCACCGAATTACAACAGCGTCAAAAGTCTCTGAGCGTCGTTGCTTCAACCTATCAGAAATACAGTTAGTTAGGAGGATCTTGTCTGGTTGGCCTCCCAAGTTGTTTCACGATGAGGCAAGACTCTCTGTCCAGTAGCCATGACAATGAATGCTACATTGGCTATAGAACATCAAAAGTATCATTCAATGGCTCCAAGGAAACAGTCCGAGCTTGATTTTGCTCAAACTTATGGTCACTGGTTGAGCAAAGAACCCCAATCCCCGTGCTATTTCGATCCGAAGCTTAGCTGAACTGCGAGAGTGGGGTGGGCGATGGGTAGGTTTCTGTCCATCTACTGGTCCTCATCAGGCAGTCAGGCAGTTGTACCGGTTGAGCCAACGGCACCTACCGGTACTCGGCACCTTGACTTGAGGAGGCAGTACCACCGTAGGTATCCTGCTTCTCACGACATGTACCACCACGAGTCGTCGACAAAACTGAAAGGTTGACAAAGCAAGACCAATCGCCCCTTGTCGCCTCAAACAAAGTCCACCAAACTACTAGAGTCACTAATGTTAACTCGCTCTGCTTGACCACGAATAGGCAGTTGATGGCTAGTATGGAACATTTCTTCTAATGTAAAAGTGGGATCTCTAATCACACGGCTGAAGGCTTCCAGCGAGCTGTTGCGGTTTGGTGCAGCATATGTAGATGGTCTTGCGGATGATGTGAGTCCAGGACTACCGGTTCATCAAAACAATCATGGGCAGCTGCAGATGTTTTTTCAATCGAAGGCGTCCTCGTCCCACATCTCCTACTAGTAACTCTCTGTCTTCCCGACAACATGAAGACAGTACAGCAAACAGGCTGTTCGTAGAAGTTCGCGTTGGGTTTTCCGTAGCTGCCTGAGCTGCCTGAGCATTTCCTTGCCGCACAACATACCGTTGTTGGAGTTTGCCGCTAGGACACCGGACCTACGAGCTACTCACCTGCATTGAGAACGAACAGATGGGTTCCAATTGTCAACAACGTCTGTTCGTAGACTTTTGAGGGCTTCCATTGATGCTTGGCATACTGGTGTAGGGTGCACAATCATTAAACCTCTCTTCCCTCCTAGCTTGTTGATACCGGTGCGGGCACGAATTGAGTTGGTGTCCTCGGCAACCACCTAGAACAAACCGGAAAGTGCAGAGGCAGGTTTTGGTGTCCCTGAGATTTCCAGAATGCTGCGCAGCAACTCGCATTGCTTCTCTCTTCTCTCTGCATGGCAGAGTTCTTTTTCACTAGCTAGGCTGGAAGAAGACGAATTGGTGTTATTGAAGCCCCCCGCCGAACGGCAAAGAATTGCATGGAGCTAGTGGAGCCTGTGGATCAAGTCTTTTTGGAGTTCGATCGTTTGTGGCTTGTTGGCAGTGCTACCGACACTGAAATGATGCTCCCCAGAACCGTCTTTGATTCCTTAAGAAAATGTTGATGAGTGCATCACTTGTTATTTCGCTTCCGATTGCGCCATGCGGCAGTGGCGGATTCCTGGTAGGCCTGGGAAGTACCACCAATTCTCCAGAGGGACGGGGCTCCATCCCGTTTGCTCTCTGTTGGATCGTCTGTATTATTGTGGGAATCCTTCACTGCTGCACTGACCGATGAATCAACCGTTCCCTGTGTGGTTCGGTTATCCGTCGCAGGAGATCTCGTTCCTTTTTCTTTGCGGTATAAATGGGTTGCTGCTTGGAGATGTGCCTTCGACGGTTCGTGATGGATAAGGTGCTTTCGAGACTTGATTCCAGCGCTGAAAGCTTTTGTGGAGGCACACCGGATGGCAACACTCAGACCTCTTGTCATTGTCATCTTGCTTGCGGTTCCTCCGAGATGCTGCTACGGTTACGTGCAAGTGCATGCACACCACACCCATCTTCCAGGTGGGTGGGTGGAGATGCGTTGTGACAAAAAAAAGATCCAAGGGTCAAGGCTTTAAGAACCATAAACACTAAATCTTTGGAAACCACCAACTTGTACCAATATCCAGTATTTTTCACGAGCCCCGCGACCATCGACCATGGGGAAAGGACCAGGTGTGACCAGTGGTATGCTTTCTTGTCAAGCATTCTTGCCAAAGCATTGAAACCATCAGCCTGGCTACTGACAACATTCAGTTCATAATAAAACTAGCTAGAGGAAGAAGGGAAACTAATGGAATTTCGACGTGGCAATCTCGTTTTTTTGGCTCTGCTGCTGCTTTCACTGGCCACTCGGGTATCTGCCGCCAATGATGCCAAGAGGAAGGATGACACGGACCAGGGATCGGTCGACCAAAACAAATATCAACAACGATGTGCTGACGGAGATGACAGCGAAACCTGCAAAGTCAGAGTTGTGACAGTGGAAGAATTATCCACCAAGAATGGAGAAGATGGAGGCAAAGAACTCTGGTTGTCCCTTTTGGGCAAGGTCTACGATGTTTCCAATGGACCCCAGTACTACGCACCCAAATCCGGCTATCACATTTTTGCCGGTCGAGATGGGACCATTCCATTCATTACAGGAAATTTCACTGACGAGGAATGCGCCAAACACACTGACGAGCTGACAGCCGCACAACTGTACTCCATTGATCGAGAATGGGCCAATTTCTACGCCAAGGAGGAAAAGTACCCCTTTGTGGGATTCCTGTGTTGTCGATTCTACGATGAACAAGGACAACCCACCGAGGAAACACAACGAGTCTGGGAACGAGTCAAATCCTACGAAAAAATCAAAGCTGCCAAAGCCAAAGAGCGAAAAGAGAAGCGAAAAATGATGATGATGGCAACACCCAAAACGGCAACCACATGAGCAAGCTGTCATGATAGCCAACAAGAGCCATGAATAGTATCAATAATTGGAGGAGGAATCGAAAATGTACAAAAGCCGACAATACGCCTCTGAAGACTGATTCTGGAACCTCAATGAGAATGGAAAATAACATAGGGAAATACATAGGAAACGATACTGCTAAACACAAGCCATCATTCTATATTGGCAGGACATTCAATCTTTGCCAGGTTATTCATTATGTGTTGCTCCCATCACAGTCTCCAGAAACACACATCCACGGCCTTCTTTCTGATCGCTATAAAAACAACCACGCAATTGCCAAGGAAGGCAAGGGCCCATTGAAAAAGGATGCCACTGCTGGAACAAATAATGATGACCCAAATCATGGTTTACCCCTTGGTGCTTGGCCCAAAGCACTCAACCACCTTTTGGAACAACAAGGAGAGACTCCAAGCTTCCTTCGCCCACACCTCGTCACATGGGTCCACCAACGTCAAAACAACAGCAACAATTGGGGGGGGGGGGGGTGATGCCTCCCACCACATCTTACCCTTTGTATTTAACACTCCAGGGAATGTCTATGAGACCGCAAAACCTGGCAAGCTCCGACGTCTGGGATGAATAGCAGAGGACGACTTCTACCTGCCTGGTGTTTCTACGGGAACGGGACATGTTGGTGGCTTGGCTTTACAGCAGAAAAACAGTAACATCACAGAAACAGCCCAGATGAGCCTCTGGCAAACAAAAGTATCCAAAGGCACTTCTACGTTTAGTTATGCACCCTTCAAGAATGGAACAAGGTGTCCGTGGCGGAGCCTCCGTGCGACTACTGCAAGAGATAGAAATACCCCTCGAGGATTGGATGAATTAATTGATCATGAGTAGTTGCAAGAAAGCAATATGGTAGGGGATGGGGCAAGTCTACCCACACTGAGACAGTCGGTGTTGAAAAACCCGCGATGATCGAGACCGCATGCCCTGCATAGCCCCGTTTTCGCATTGTTTTGCCAAAGGACAACAACCAGACTATCGCATGTCCGAGGTCCCGACAAGCCACCAGCAAACCGCAGTTCCAATATTCTCATACTAATGCACAGGCAGCTCCGTGTGAGGCAATTGGGTAATCCTCACTATTGCAACTTGCGGCTATGAGTTGCAATTTTCTGTACCAGTACTGGTACCAGCTACAGCGTACCGTCGTTGTTGGTCCTGAATGGAATCGAATTTCAAGCATTGTTCATTGGCACACCTTGAGGAACCATGGAGTGACAGTCGAGTGACAGTCAAGTCTGAAATCGTGGAATGCAAACGTGGGTGACAAAGATTTTGATTTTCTGAAAAAAGTTAAAGCGTTTCATCATTTTAGCACTAATTTTAAAATAATCAAAATCGAAAAAAATCACTGCGCTCCTCGCTCGCTCCGGATAGCCGTTTGGATTGAGAGACATTCATCCAATCCGTTCCAACATCGAAGCAACAGTCACAGTCAATGGAGATGAGTGTGGCTTCCGCTGGCACTACTAGTAGTAGCAGTAACAATTCTGCGGATGAGGCTGACGATGGTTGGAAGAGTTCGTGGAGCGCCTGTCATTACAAGACCTGTTTGAGCCAAAGCTCTCTGGTTGCTTGTCCCGAGGAAGTTCAGAAATTCAACAGCAACCAGGGCAATGACAAATCGAAGATTTTATGGTCGATTCCCCAACAGAGTGAAGTGACCATCTGGAATTATGCTTCGTCTTCAAGAGAACATGAGAGCGGCGAGTCAATGAAGACACACAATGCCATGATGGAGTCTCTGGTTGTCAATCATCTTGCATCAGTAGAGACAGAACAGGAGGATGCTGCAAATGAAAAGACTTCTTCTGACACACCGACATCACCAATGAAGCAACAAGAATCCAGTGGTGGAGTCATGCAGTATGTGACGTCTGCGTTGAGTCCGATTGCCGGTTTGTTTTCTCCCAGTCGTCCCATGGTGTCTTCGTTCTATGATGAAGAGGACGACGCCTTGAAGGATTGGTCGGAGTTTGCCAAGGCATTGGAAGAGGAAGAAGATGATGCCAAGCAACCTCCAAAAATCGACAATACTACCAATCCAGTTGCGTGGCAAGATCCAATATTGAACATACCCCTGACGGTAGAATGTTTCCTCTGTTTGCAAGAGGCTGTGGAACAATCATGCCAAGCAGAGTTGACTACCGACCATGGATTTCCACTGATGCTTTCACGACGGCGCTCGGCTACAAACACTACCTATGACCAATCCGAAACGCCCAAATTCTGGATTGATTGGGTTCAAGCCGTGGGACACCGCAACAATCAGCATACACCCCAAACTCTATTGACACGTCTTTCCGAGACTCATATCGATTTCCTCCTCGATTGTCTTGTCAGTACAGGAAAAATCACACTAATACAACATGACGACGAAGAATTAGTGGCATTCATGCCCAAACAACAACAAGAACAGCAAATGTACCTTGAATTCCTAGCTTCCTGGTACAAAATCTCTCGTGCCGTGCAAGTTGTGGAACACCAACGGGAACAATGGTCCCAGAAATCTCAACAATGGGCTCGTCGTGCCCTACAAGAACGTCAATCATCGAGCATCGAGCAAGCTGGATTGGTTTCATTTAAATTGCACAAGCAGTACCAGAAACACCTGGAAGAAACAGAGGGCACCCTGTTGAATTTAGAACAGGCTCAACATGCCATGGAAACATCCTGGCATCAACAACAGCTCGTGGATGCTTTGAAGACATCCAACCTGGCTCTGCAGCAGCAACAACAACAACAAAAAATTGGGGAGCAAGTAGACAATGTCATGGAAACCTATCGCAATGAATTGGAATTGCTTGGAACGATGGAGCAATCATGGGCGTCTTCCACCCACCCTAGTACGGAATTGGATGAAGAGGACTTGATGGCTGAGCTGGTGGGATTGTCCCTCCCCCATGATAGTCAAGGCACACTATTTCAAGGGAATCACAAGCAGGGACTTCTCTCATCAACAACTACTCCTATGAATTCTTCCATTTGTGTAGGCCCACTTGGAACAACTAAGGGGTCCTCATCCGCTCCAACACCCCTCAAGGAGAACATCCTGGTGGCATCCAAGGGAGAGGAAAGAAGCACAAAGAAGGCACTGGTGGCAGGCTGATTTATAGGTTCAATTATTGTAAGGGTGGTCAGTTTCTGAAAGACTGCTTCCTGCTGGTGCTAGCCTATGTTACACTAGTTCTTTCGTGGCACAAGCTCGAAGAAGTAGATGGAACTACTAGTGCCTAAAACAAATACTGAATGCTTGTAATTTCTATCTATTTTTTCTTTGGAGTCATCAATCCTTGCATCCAACACTTCGAGCTTGTGAAGACTGTTGTCATTTGCACACGACACAGCTGTCTTTGTGTAGAGGGTAACATTGTAGGTAGGGGATGGGCAAATCTTGCAATAGCCCTGAATTGTAATGGAGTGTGACTCGCCAAAATCAGTTAAAAAGACGAAATTCGTATTTTTGCCGGAAGATACATTTAATTGGATTGCATTGGATTGGATTGCATTGAATTGGATTGAATTAGATTCCAAATAGTACTGTTATTTGTATAGTAAACTGTAATTCAATGCAATCCAATCTAATCCAATCTAATCCAATGCAATCCAATCAAATCCAATAGAGAAAAACAGCCAAAGTGAAAGATTGGCTTAGCGCACACAATTTTTACAAAAACGCTCTAACAAATTCAACACAGAGCCATGGGCAAGTTTGCTCATCCCCTTATTCGTCTCGGTCTTCGCAGCATGGTGAAGATCGCAGTGGTTTTGAAAAAATTGAAACTGATCAAAATCGGAAAAGACGATTCTTCGATTGATTCGATTCGAATCGAATTCGATTGGACGTGGGAATTAAGTCAGCGGGAGCTGCGATACCTCGGCAGAAAGACAAATAGAAGAACGAGGATCATGTTTGAGATTGCACCCTTCTTTCAAGATAGCCCTGGCGACAACACCCGACTTCGTCGTGTGTTGCCGCCCGGTATCATTCCCTCATTGTAACCTTCTTTTTTATTTAAGCTAGCTCTGGCGACAACACCCGACTTCGTAGTGTGTTGCCGCCCGCTAACCATAATTTTACAGCTGTCATTCCCTTGTGTAATTGTATTCTTTGTAGCTTCTGCAGGCTTATTGTGTTGAGTGCACTAACCTTGAATAATCATGATTTATTCCTACCCCTAAATTTGTAGAACCTTCAATTTCCAGTTTTGTTGGCTTAAGACTATCTCTACAGGCAGCTTCGATTTCAAAGATTCAAACGGGTGCCAGATTTTCTAGTACACTTCTACGAGAGCTCGCGTAGAAGTGTACTAGGGAGTTCGCCACACATTTGCATTAATAAAATCGAATTTGCTCGCATCCCTATTTTGGCTTCACCGGAATAGGAAATAGTTGAGAACTCAGGCAGTGAACCTGCCGAGGTCAATTTTGGATCTCACTTCCGAGAGGAAAGCCAGAAGCAATCAAAAAGGGGAGGCAGCGATTCAAAGAGCCAATGCAAATTAGCTAGTACCAGCACACTCAGTAGAAAGAATGAGCGACAGCGAAGATGACATGGCGCTTGTCGTTGGAGAAGCTGAAGATGATTCGGAGGAAGAGGACGACGAAGAAGCGAGGGACCAGGACTACTACATTAGTGCCATCACGGAACAGCTGAGGAAAGAATCTTCTTCAGAAAGCGAATTTCTGGAACTGGATATTCCCAGTTCCTACGATTGGCCGATTACAGAAGAGCTGATTTCCAGGGTTGCTGACTTCGTCCGCGACGAATTAAAGCGAGAAGTAACGCATTTGAGGTATCGAGAGTCTGTTGCGGGTCCGATGCTGTTTCAAGCTATTCGGAGGGTCATGTCTCCTTCCTCATTGCAACTATTGACACTGAATGGACGTCTGGGTAATGACACAGCTGGAATACTGGTGAGGGACGTGCTGGGAAACCGTTTCACAAGCCTGAAAGAAATCCAGTTCTACAGAGCAGAGATCTCTGATGGATCTATCATTCGCGATATGCTGGAGAACAATCCTCAGCTGGAAATTTTGGGCCTTGGCGTTGGCAATGGCCCATTTTCCATCATGGGGATCCGCCTTTTTTCTCAAGGTCTTTCTGGTGCCGTTCAAAACAGCTTGAAATGTCTAGATGTTGGCAATCTCCGTGTTCTGGATGGAGGCTTCACTATGCTCTGCAATGGTCTGCTTCAAAGCCCAGCGCTACAAAAGCTAACCCTCCAAGCAAACGGCCTTACAAAGGCATCCCTTCCACTGGCCACGCAACTACTCCAGCGCTTGCGAGCACTTGAAGAATTCAGGATCAACGTGAACCCATTGCTGTTCAAGGACGCACCACTGAACGAAATCAAATCATTTGCTTTGGCGGCTGCATCCTCTCAATATCTGAAGGATTTGAGCATTCAGAAGTGTGGACTATCAGGGCTGGCAATGGCTGTTGTACTTGGAGCCCTGGCTTCTAAAAGCACTGCCCTGGAAACACTCTGCATTGACTTGGAGGACGATGAAACATACAAGGCTCTGGAAAAATGTGTTCCAAAGTTCAAAGCCCTTCGGTCTCTTCAATATTTGGGTGGCAAGCTGAATGCCTGGGAGGACTCTCTTTCAACGGCTGTGCTTCAGAACACATCCCTCTATGAGATCAAGTGCTGGAGTGGAGTGTCTCCACCACCACAGACACGTGGTCTATTCTTTCATCATTTCCAAAGCAACCGGGCAATTGCCAAGGCAAGAGACCTGTTGGCTGCTAATGCAAAGGCAGCACAAAACGGAAGCAATATGGGGTTGCCTCTTGGTGTTTGGCCCAAGGCTATTTCCGCCCTCAATGAAACACGCATTTCACGGGGACAAGGCAAGACTGCAACATTTCTCATCCTTCGATCTCAACTTGTCACATGGATCCAACAATCGCACAAAGACAATGAAGACAAACAAGACAAGACGAAATCATCTAGTGGAAGAAGTGAGAGAAGCCCTGTATTACCAATTCCAGATGCTGCAAAGGGTGAAAGCAGCAATGAGAAACCTTCCAAGCGGCAAAGGCTGAAGGACGATGAATGATTGGCCTCGGAGGTGCTTCCTTTATTTGCCCCCGGTAGTGCTTTGTCTCCCTTGCCGGAAAGCAAGCTACGTAGTTACCGCACCGAGGAGGAAAGGCCATGAATAGCTGGGTGTAACCTGATGGCGCCAACTCTAGTCCCTTGTGTAGGGCCCCTGCCCAGGAATAAATCAAGTTTCTGCCGTGGCTACTTCCAGTAGAGGAGTTGAGGACCCAGCAACCCCAGACTCCGCCGCTCCCTCCTCCAGTGCAGTCTAGCCTACTTCCAAAAAGCGATTGCCAGTCACTGGGCATTAATCCGGCCAACAATACATCATCATCTATCATCTGTCCTCATCTGAAAAGGACCTGGTTTTGTGACGCACCTGGCTCACGAGCATCTGGTGTGTGCGAAGGCTTGCCTCTCCTAACATGGGATCTGTGTGATACCTGGTGGCAACCGCCGGTAAAGCTGTCTGTGCAACATTATTACCGGGTAAAACCCTTAGATACCATACCGCTACTTGTTATGTATTTGGGTTATTCCTGTTTCGTTTCAATATTTTAGTTTTATAATTGTGTTTTTCTTGTTTTTTAAGACGCAAAATTATAACATTCCGTAATTTCAGTTTTATATTTTGGAATCAAGATTCATTTTATTCAGTTTTGGCTCACAAAATGGTGCACGGTGATTTCGGCTCTTTTAGCGGGACTTTCGAGTGACGAGTCGAGTCCCACTTTCTCTTTTCTTGGAGCATCGTCATTGATTGGCCGCTCACCTCCACACAGGCAACGTTACTGGTGAGTGCTCACCAGTCCATTGGATTTGGAGCTGCGAACCCTGGGCTCTTGCTCACATCCTGAGAGGCAATGACATGTACTCGGCCACTTGCTCATGAAGGACGCTCACAAACATCTATCAAGAGTCAAGACAAGAAAACCAAAGAGAGACATGATGAGACGGCGCACTGGAACTGCCGATGGAGATAATATGTCGTCATCGTCGCGATGGCCAATGAGAAGCGATCCTGCCAATACATGCGACAATAAGCAGCGCACGACCCTTATTGAGAATGTTTCGTTACTCTTTACGGAATCTTCCCTCGTGGCCACCCCAGTGGCTTTAATACACCGATCGTTGGCTGGTTTGGGAGTGGCCGAAGAGGATCTTCCCACTCCGATTGCCCTGTTCCGAGTCGTATTGGCGTTATTGGCAGTTGTGCTGATGCTCTGTTACTTCTCATGGGGACGACAGAAGAGTCGAAAGAGCGACTTGCAGCGAGAGCTTCAATTGGCGCGTGCCAAAGTCAGATCGCTGCAAGATCAATTGAAGCAGCTCAAGGACGATGATGACAATAACAACAAGAAACAACAACCATTGGACGACACCACCAATGGCGACAAGGAAATTCGAATCTTTATGGATGGAGCCTTTGATCTTCTCCACTACGGACATATGAATGCGTTCCGATTGGCCAAATCGCTCGGGACGACTCTCATTGTGGGCGTCAATTCCGATGAATCCATCACCAGGTGCAAGGGAGCACCACCTCTCATGAGTGACGACGAGCGCATGACCATGGTCAAAACGTGCAAATTCGTCGATGAAGTGGTGGAAAATTGTCCTTACGTCATGAGCCCCGAGTATTTGGACTGGGTGATCAAGGAAAAACGCATTGATTATGTCATTCATGGATCCGACCCATGCTTTACGGTTGATGGAGAGGATGTCTACGCCGCCGCCAAGGCAACAGGAAAGTTCCGAATGATTCCACGGACCGAAGGAGTCTCCACCAGTGATATTCTAGGACGAATCCTCGTCATGACACGCGAACATCATATCTATGATCAACAAAAACAAATCACGGCAGACAAGACTGAGGATGAAAACAACAGCAACAAGGACGAGGAAAAGAGTGCCGAACAGCAAGAGCAACAAGAACAACCACGATCCAAATTCTTGACCACGAGTCTATTGCTCAAGTTGTTCAGTGCTGGAGTAAAGGCTCCCAAGAAGGGCATGAAGGTCATTTACATTGACGGGACCTGGGACCTCTTTCATCCCGGTCATGTTGCCATCTTGAAGGCGGCACGGGAGGTGAGTATATTGCAATGTCGCGTGATTTCTTTGGAATCGTCAAGAATTAAATTGTTGACTAAATGAAGCTTACAATTCCTTCCCGTATGTGTCTGATCTGATCAGCGTGGCGACTATTTGATTGTTGGAGTGCACGGAGACGCTGTGGTGAATCGGCTGCGGGGAATGAACATGCCCCTTATGAACCTACACGAACGCGTCTTGAGTGTTCTGGGTTGCCGGTATGTTGACGATGTGTTGATTGACGCTCCCTACGAGATCACACCCGACATGGTGGATCGGCTAAACATCTCGGAAGTGGTCAAGGGAACCAAGCACGATGACATTGGCGTTCGGTACGCTGTCAACATGTATGATTATCCCAAGAGGGCGGGAATTCTGACAGAGGTTGAGAGTCCAAGTACATTCAACATGGAGCACATTGTGCAACGCATACGAAAGAACCAAAAAACGTTTGAGGAAAAGTTTGATCGCAAGATCAAAATGGAAAACGAGTTCTACAAAAACCTTCGCAGCACCTCACAATGATGATGAGACGCCCTTTCAATTGTGCAGCTCAAAAGTTGAAAGTTGGTTGTTGTTTGCGGTTCCAGTGTGGTGGACCTCACCGCGCTAGCTAGCTAGCTAGCCTAAGAACAGTGTTTTAGTTGTGGTAGTGTTTTCCGCTGATGAAGTGCACGTATCGTACCGGTACCGTACCGTTTACGGTATAGGTAGCTTGGCTAGTGAGGTACAAAGGGAAGCCTTCGCCACAAAACCAGCACTTCCCTGTCACTGTGGGTTTAGCCCGGCAATCAGGTGGAGGCAGGATTTTTGCGGGAGACACGGATACAAGAAAGCATCCTCAGAAAGAAACGAACTCGTTTGGAGACTACCGTATTATTACGTGTAGCTACAATCTGTGCCGTACGTGTGAAACTCTCAAGTAGCTAGCTATTTTTACACAGAGTTGTGTATTCACTATCATGTATCACTTCCCATTCATATCCTCAATCAGCAGATTTCTGCTGGTTACCTCCCACTGCGACAGCTTGTCCTGCCGTGGATTTGTTCTCATCCGTCAACTTCTTCGACTTGAGGCGCTTACGTGGGGGTCCTTTGCTTCTGAAATGTTCTCCTGGACTGTCCCCCACTTCCTTGTCGTCGTCTTCACTTGATGACTGATCGGCCTTGCCCTTGTCATCAGAGTTGATGTCCCCGCACTTATCGGAATTCGAGTCCGAGTCTTCCAATGAACTCTCCACTGGATTTGTCGAGTTGTTGCCAGAGGATGTCTCCGATGTTGAAGCTGACATATCAGTTACATAGGCAGGGTTAGTGGTACGGCGGTTTTGGAGCGAAGTTGCCGTAAACTGACGGTAAGAATCAGCCAGCGACGAAGCAGCTGACATGGTTGCTGGAGCCTTATTTGGTGTGGCTTCTGGCTTCTCGGCAGCACCATCATTGTCAACTGCAAAGGTAGGTCTGGCTTTCGGTTTGGAGTTTTCGGCGTTTGGCTTGCTGACCGAACTCTTTGTCTGCTGCGTCTTTTGCTTTTTCGAGCTTGCTTCCGCTTCAACTCGTAGACGCTTCTTGACCTTCTTTGCTGGGACATCGGCTTGGCCTGGAGCCGCGGGCGTGGTCCCCTTCTTCCTCACAGCGTCTTCATAGGAATCCCTTAGTGAGCTCAAGAAGCCGATTAGAATCGTGCCAGCTGCTTCCTCTTCTTCCGTTCTGCCTCCGTTGCCGGGCGCCTCCTTTTGCGCCACTTGCCCTGGCAATTCTTGCTCTGACCTTGGCTTCGGCTTGAGATCACCATCCGCCGTGGGTTGCTTCGCTTCTGCTGACTTGGCAAGCTTTGCAGCCTTGTCCTTCTTCTTGTCTTTGGACCTGCTTGATTTCTTTGACTTGCCGTCTCTTGAAGACCCGTCCGACGACTTGCGCGGCCTTGCAGACTCTGATCCCTGTTTGACTTTTGGCTTGTCCTTCGGCAACCTTGCCACTTCTTGCACTGGTGCCTGGACGGGTGCCATTGGAGCCGCCACAGCCACCGTTGCAGTGGCGACGGGCTTGGTGTCGGATTCGACCTGTTCCCTGGCTTTGAGCTGCTTCTCGTACGCTTCTCTTAGCTGCATCGCAAAGCTGTTGGCTTCGTCTGCGTGAGCCTTCTTCAAGAGCTCCTGTTGCCTCTCTTGTTGTTCCTGCTGCTGCCTTGCCTCCAATTTGGCCTGTTCCTGCTGTTTCTGCAGTGCTTGCTCTTGCTGTTTCTGCAAGGCCTGCAAGTGTTGCTGTTGAAGAGCCTGCTGCTGTTGCTGCAACGTGCTCTGCTGCTGTTGGGCTTGCTGTTGCAACGTAGCCTGTTGCTGCTGGGCTGCTGCCTGTTGCTGCTGCAAAGCTTGCTGTTTCTGTGCTTGCTGTTGCTGCTGCATCACGTGCTGTTGGACCTGTTGCTGAACTTGCTGTTGGACCTGTTGCTGGACTTGCTGTTGGACTTGTTGCTGAAGCTGTTGCTGCTGATTCGGTTGCAGGTTTCCAACAGCCAGCTGGGGGAAAACAGTGGAGAGTGATGCCATCAACTGCTGTTGTTGCTGCTGAGCCTGATGTTGCTGTTGCTGCTGCTGGATGTTTGCGGCAGTCAGCTGAGGCAGAGCAGTGGACAAGGATGCAGCCACCTGAGCCCAAGCCCAGTTCGTGACTGCATCGTTCACAGCTCGAACGGAAGCATCCATGGAAGAACCAGTTCTGTGAATGAGATAGGAGAAAACATTGGCAAGTTAGGCTAGATTGAACGGCGCAGAACGCACAGCTAAATCTGGCAATGACTTACGATGAGGGGGCGGCGTTGGGGGCTGGGGCTGGAGCATTTGGAGGAGCCGGCAACAGCCACTGGGGAGCTCCTGGTGCCCCAGCAAGTCCTGGTAGCCCAGGTACAGTGGGGGGAGCTGCAGCAACCGGAGGGACAGCAGGTGCCGCTGGCGTTGGAAGCTGGAAGGGAAACGATGGCGCGGGAGAGGGATTGGCGCCCGCAGCCGCGGCTGCTGCAGCCGCTGCAAAGTTCTGCAAGAAGGTTGTCGCTGCAGCTGTTGCAGCGGCAGCCGTTGCATTGTTGTGGGAGGGAACTGGCTGGGCCACAGCTACAGGCCCCTGTGACAATACAGCACTGGGAGGGGGGTTCTCTGCAGGAGTGGCAAACTTGAGCATCATTCCAGGAGGAGTGGTCAGGGGCATGCCTCCATAGCCATGCTCCACCCGAAGTCGAAACCTCTGCTCCAACTGATCAAGCTCATTTCGGGCCATTTGGATCTCGTCGTAGCTGGGCTGTGGGCGATTCCTGAGATGGAATACTCTTCGTCCCAGACAGGAAGCCCCCGCAAACTTCTTGGTGATACGCATTGGGTCACAGTTCAGCTTTTCTGCCAAGAAGGAGCGCAATGTTGCGCCCTCAGGCAAGGTCAGAAGTCCAGTGCTGAAGTGATGGATAATCCTGGTAGTGTACTCTTCCTCTTCAACCTACAGACATAAGGAAGGATAAATCAACAGCAAATGAGGATCTCATCATCCAACCAAGCCAAGTCGTCACTCGAGTCTCCTCCATATTTGCTTACCGTCCACTTCCCCTTTCTCAGTTTGGACCGATCTTTCTTGGGCTTCTTCTTGGAAGAGCTCTGAGTGTTATCATCCACGGGAGACGCGGAAGCCGTAGTAGACGGCTTTGATCTCGCGCCCCCTTCGTCCCCAGAAGTAGACGAAGTCGAGGACGGCGACGATGATGACGCGCGAGATGAGAGGCCACCAGAACCAGCTGCTGCCGCCGCCAATGCACCGGGCTTTGGACCTCCATTCAAGTTGGATGAAGCGACTCCTTGATTCGATGGCGCTGAGGATGGCGTTGATGATGCTTGTGCTGGGAGATTTGGTAGTCCCCTCGAGCCTCTGACGCCTCCGCTGGTAGCCGCCATGAGAGCCAGTGATAAGTTCCTCGACAGCTCTTCAGCGGCTGACGATCCCCTCTTGGGAGCTCGGTCGTCGTTCGACTGCATTGTCAAGTATAATGGGAGATAGATACCCTTGATTCTTTGCCGGCCTCTGCCTCGAGGATCAGGGTCTTTGATGATGTTGTTGGCTTGGTGTTGTTTGTGGGAGGTTGCTCTTGATGTTGAAGGCTTAGCCATGGCAGCAGCTGCTTTCGGATTGGTTATTGGTCTACTTTGCTTCGTGTAGACGTGTGGGTTGGGAAGCGCTCCTTGACCCTTTGCTTATCATACTTCCACTATCTATTATTTTTACTGTAGCTATTTCGCTCTGTTTAACATACTGCAATTCTCCTAAGTACATCATAAATGACGCACTACGATGTCAACTGAACGAGAAAAGCTTTAGTGTCCAAATCAGTACAGGCAGACAAGAAGTCAAGTGCGTGAAAAAACGCACTTTGTTGCTGCGACACTGACGGCAGAATGAGTGCAACGAAGTTTGGTTTCGTGCTGTCAAATTTTGTTTGACGTTGACTTTCTGGAACTCCAAACACTCTCAAAATGTAGAGGAAAGAGTTGAAGAGTTGAACTTGATGACCAACCTCATAGGGTCAACCTCCACGCAGGCGATATTCTTCAAGTGTGCACTAATGACACTGCAAAGCTACCAGAAAATGCGAAGAGATGGGACAAGCATCCTCTACTAGCTAGAGTATCACACCAAACAAATACTAGCTAGCTAGTAAGCCAAGACTAGCTAGAGATAAGAGAAACATTTGTTCGCCAAGGCGAAGGTGCTACCGGTACCGTATCCTGCCTACATTTGCCTACTTTTGCCGCCTTCAAAACAGTTACTGCACAAATATCATTGTACATGTAATGGATCCTTTTGACACTAAAGCCAGCTATTAATAGCACCGTAGAAAACTAGCATAATGGACACGTCAACGGCCTGAAAGTGGAAAGCACGACTGAACCTGCAGGCAGTAGAGGAAGATCGTCCGTCTGGAATTGTCTCGTTTGTCCTGAACATCCAACGAAGCCTTTTTCCCCACCGTACTGTTTCGCCAAGAGAAGCTTGTGCGTCAGTTTTTGTCATTCTGAAGATGATGCAATTGTTCTTTTTCTCTGCAACTCTCCCCTTCACTTGCATCCAGCCTCACTAAGTTGCAGGGTTGCAGGGCAACCAGAAGTCCACATTTAACATGGTTTGACGGATTGAGAATCGGTGCAACTTGCGTACGAGTACGCTTGTTGTTGGATTGGCTGCGTAAACGTTGTTGTTGATGACTCAAATCAACTTTTGCCCTTGTGGGTCCAACCAGAAGTCTTCTTTGACGTCTCTTGCTGCTGTCACAAAATGTACATGTATCACGGTTTCTGACAATTGGTTCGTCAGGCCTCTTCCGAGAGGCAAAACTTCTTCTTCCACCCATGAAGCGGGGGCTACTAGTACACTGTAACGGTACAGGACTGTATGCATCTCTGCATGCATACAGTACATGTAGATATGCATAGGATCCAATTGCTATCGGGGAGCTGGCTAGCTACCGTACCGGGGTCTAGCCCCTCAAACAAATATTGGAGGAGGCTGACTGGCCATTTGCTAGCTACTGTACCAGTTATTGGCAACTCAACTCACTTTCAGCTCTTTCGGCCAAGTTAAGCAATCTAAAGCAATCTCAACAATTGTACCAGGTACCGTACCGTATCTCCAAGGTGTGTTCGTAAAGCGGAGGTGTGCTCGTGCTAGCGTGAAGCGGAGGTGCAGGAGGTTGGTGAGGGCGTGGGTGGTGTTGGTCTTGCAGCCTTGTAGGCTTGTACTGAGTACGCCAGTACGATCAGTACCAGGCACATCGTAGGCTTGTAAAACAAGCACGAGTAAAAAAATGTGGGAAAATGCAGGTCCGTTGGATCATCCTGCACAGGTTAAACAACACTGAATCGAATCAGAATCATCACAAAAACAACAACGCCTTGGGAGGGATGGAAGACAAATTGGCAGGGACGACGAGGAGTATATTTACTAGCTTTGAGATGCATCAGGGAGCTTTCCCGGCCGATCGGAGAGGAGGGGAGGAAGCTGCAGTTGGTGGTACCAATGGTAGACGACAACGTGTCATTCTTGGGTTGCTGTTGGTGGTCGCATTGGCAGCTATTGCGCTTGACTACTTTACCAAACGAAGAATCGAAAAGGCATGCCTTGGATTTATTCACTGGGTAGAAGTCCACCCTTTGTTGGGAGTTCTGGCAGTTATCTGTGTTTATGCATTGGCTACCATCCTTTTCATTCCGGGCGCCATTTTGACCGTTGGCTGTGGATATGCATTTCGCAGTGCTTTTGACAGCACCGCCAAAGGAGTGATGTTTGCCACTGTGGCTGTTTTCTTGGGGGCATTTATTGGATCTTTGTGTTCCTTTCTATTGGGAAGATATCTCTTTCGAGACTGTGTCATGCAGCTGGCGTCCAATTATCCCATTTTGAGAGCCATCGATCGGGGTGAGAAAGACCACCCCAATGTCGCCAAGCTTGCCATTTTTGTAATCTCACTGTCCTTTTGATGCTTTGGTGATTCAGCACTGGAACAGAACGGATTGAAAATCATGCTGCTGCTACGGCTCAGTCCCCTCATACCTTTCAACGCCCTCGACTATATCAGCGGTGTTACTTCCATTTCGTTTCGCGATTATGCAATCGCCCTGATCGCCATCTTGCCTGGAACAATCATGTTTTGCATGGTGGGAGCCACAGCATCTAGTTTGACAGACACAAGTACTTCCTCTGAAAACAAGCTTGCCAGCAGAATCAGCCTGGTAGGTGGCCTGTTGTTTGCCATTGTGGGTGTTGCTGTTGCCTCGTACTATTCCAAGTTGGAGCTTGATAAGGTATGTTCTAGATATAGGTGGGCTTGTCTGTTGGCTCATGATTTGGGCTGATTCGATTCATTCATCGCTTTATGACGCCAAGATTTTGAATGGGACTGATGGCAGCAGGAGTGGTGCCCAGTATCTTCAAGTTGGACCAGTGGATGATAACGTCCACTATCCAAATAATGGTGAACCCGACAATGGTGGACAAGCAGCAAGGAGGACAATCGTATGAGTTAGTGACAGTCATTCTTTTGTCGTCATTGTCGCCAAAGCAGCCAGGCAAGGAGCAAATCAACAATCAACGCCCTACAAATAAATGCTGAGCAATAATCTGCATTCGGGTGATATTGCGAAGACTTTCAGCGTCCGGGGCCCAAGGCTTTCAGATCGTATCACTCCTGGTGCCCAAGGAATCAACCTTGATTCCACACAAAATGCAATCTACGAAATCCTGGAATGGGAACCCACTTATTGGACCGATGGATCGCTTACTTCAGAAATTGCCATCGCCCACCAGTTTTCTCCCTAGCAACTATGAAGCTCGAGACAGCAATCAGCGTGGGACGGCATTGGTTTATTGAGACTTGTTGCTTCAGTTCATGATTCTATCATGATGTTTCTATATTATTAAATCTCGTTTCTATTCCTTTTTCTTGTCAGCATAGTATCGCTTGATTGCCTCTAGGGATGCAAATTTGTCCACAAACGCCTTGATCTTGGGATATCCTTGAAAGGAAAGAATCTCTTTTTGGAAGGGTAATTGTGTCTCGGGCAACCACAGTGCCAACCTGACGTACCAAACAAAATCTGCTGGCGATGGTTGGTCGGTACCTGCAATCCATCCCGTGCTGCTGGAGTTCAACAACTGTTCCAATGCATCGAGATGACGAGGGATGACTTCCTTGGCAATCAGTTCCTTCGATTGTTGGAGGGCATCTCCTTCTAGACAAATGCCAAAGCGTGTTGTGTAGGTAGCCACTGTGGGGCCTGTAAAGGCATCCGCTTCCTGTGCCAATGCTGCATCAATCTTGGCGGCCAAGATATCGTCGTCTCTAGGATACAGACCACCTAATTTGGCCAAATAGCGGAGAATGGCTGTGGACTGGACGAGCTGGTGGGCGCCGTCATCTACTTCCAACAGGGGCACCTGGCCAAAGGCTAATTTGCCGTTGGCTTTCAGATCTTGGAATTCTTGACGCGACGCAAAATGATAATCTTCCAACTCCAAGCCTGCATATGCGCACAAGAGACGGATTGGCTCTCCCTTGCCCACGATATTGAAATAGTATAGCTTGAGTTTGGGTTGTTGTCGCGATGTCATGATGAAAGAGTAGTGACAGCCAACCAACTCGGTTTCTCGTGGTCCCGGAGGTGTGTTATGGATGGTGTGTGTGGTGAGCTGTTGGGAATTGGGAACCATCGGAAGATACAATGGTCGCACAGTGTCGCTTTACCTGGTATCTTTCCTCCGTCCACGGTTAGCTCTCCACGCTCCAACATGTCGAGAGGTAGCAAGCACCCTGAGTTCAGCATTGCTGCAGCCAAGTGAGTACGATACTGTATGGCTGAGAGTAGTTGCAGTTAGTCCCCAGTTAGTTACGCATCCCACTTGTCGTCTCCCGTGAGATTCCTTCGTTGCCCTTGTCTTAATCGCAGAAGGGCGTTGTGGCCAAGTTGCTCCGAACGACAGATCTTCCAAGCTTCCAAGTTTCTTTCCGTCGGCCGCGTAGTCACAATTTTACAGCTACCCTTCGAATAGTACAAGTACGTATCGTAAGCAATGGTGGTCGTTGACAACTTTTCTTTTCAGCTTGTCAATGCTGAGACCAAGGAGCCTTTCAAAGAACATACAGGCGCCGATGGCAAAGTGTATGCAGAAGTAGAACCTGACATCGACTATTTCATGCAAATTAAAGTCAGCAGTAGCGACTCCAGCACGGAGTACTGTGCCAAATACATTGTGGATGGCAAAATGTTGACTGTCACTCAGCACTTTCACTTTGAACCGAAAAACCTTGACAAAACATTGATTCATGGCTTGTGGTCGCGGGAAAATGACACTGAAACTCATCAAGCTTTGAAGTTTCGCCCCCTTTGCTTGCGGATGCCCCGCTGTCAAATCCAACTGGTGCTTTGATTGGTGAGGTGAGCATTGTCATTTCAGAAGCCTTCAGTGGAGATTCCTACAAGCTGGGAGAACGCGTCGCAGACGCCTTCGTGCCTGCAAAGGTCAAACAAGGCGATGGGAAAAGCAAAGCACTGCGTTCGGGAAAAGGCACCACCCTAGAATGCTTCGAGGACGACGGTGCTCGCAGGTTCGTAGAAAAGGGTCGGCATTTGAAAACAATTACAATCAACTACTGCACCGCCGTGGGTCTCATTCACGCTGGAGTCTTCAAAAAGCCGAAAGGTTTTGGCAAGGCTCCACTTCGTTCGTCTACTGCAAGTGATAGCAAGGACATTGATATCAAGCCCAAACGAATCAAGCTGGCAGGGCGAGTAGTGAATGGAACACAGGTGGAGGCTGACAAGGAGTTTGATCTGTTTGACTTGACCACGCTATCTGAGAGTCAAGACTAGTAACCAACCAGGGACAGTGTGAGTCTATTTCTCTGTCTCCGGCATGACCCTGGCCTTTGTGGTAACAGTGATGCTACCGTATAGTAACTTGATGGTGCACAGTACCGGTACAGGAGAATGAGATTAACTAACAGCTGATCCCTTAGTATTGCAAAAACACTTTGAAACCTACATCTTTGCCGACTTTGCGAAGCATGTGTAGCCTCTAGGGTTGCGAAAAATCTGATGCCCAGCGACTTGCTGATGTTGGAGAAGCGATTCTGACATGGCCTCTTGCAAGACAATACCTCTACACTAGAGGTAGAGTTGTAATATTTTGGCTTTCTCCACTCACTGAAATTGAGGGAACACTTGGAGTGCATTGTTATCGACCTTGACTGTAATCTGCTCCCGAGCCAGCTCTTCCAATGCCTTCATCTTTCAGACTAAATTTCTTTTGGATTGTCTGTCCTTTTCCTCAGCATTGGGGCTTGCATTGTTTACCGGAATTCCTCGCCCGCTGGTTGGCCCAGGACCGCTTTTGCAAACTATCAATCAACTATTGCACAGCCTGGGGGCTCATTCATGCTGGAGTTTTGCAGAAGCCAAAAGATTTTGGCAAGGCCTGACCACGGAATGATACTACAGATTTCAGTGCTATCAATGTTCGGCCCAAACGGATTCGACTGGCGGGACGGGTAATCAATGGAACTCAGATTGAGGCTGACAAGTAGTTTGATCCATTTGACTTGACCACCCTATCGGGCAGTGAGGACTGAAAGAACCTCTGGCTTGCAGCTTGCCTTGGTACCACAGACGAAATCTGCTTTTCCTCCTACCAAACCAGGGCTGTTGCTGATATCATCGCCGCTACAGTTTTTTTTAGTTGCTGGAGGGCAAACAAAAATATACACGATTCATGGATGCGTAGATTGCAGAAATAAAGCTTAGTTGTGCAGCGTACAATGTCAGTGCCTGACTTTCAACGGTTTCACATTACTTAGGTTTCCACGAGCAGTTTTGTCTCAAGCTTCTCTTGAGACTAGCTTTGGCGTTCCGATGTTCTCGTCGATGGCCACCGTGCACAGGTACCGGTTCCAGGTAGCAGCCTTAAATTGGTGCTGTGCACAGTTCGCGTTTTTCCGACCAAGCCATTGCGTGCAGACAGCTCCGAAGCCACAGTGCCCGTTCTAAAGGGGGTACTACACTCACCGGGCAGTCACGAACACAAATCGGGCAGTGTCAAGGGCAACTCGAGCTGGGAATCATCAGGGGAGCCATGGGCGGATTCCAACAACCTCATTGCCCGCTTCCGGGGAAGATCAAACACAGCAGAACCATCTTGGCAGACAACCACTCGCCCCAGTTTTCCAGAGCCCCATTGTTTGCAAATTTTGATGACTTCAGGAGGAGTAAATGGCGTTTGATCGTTTCGATAGAGTCTCAAAGTTCGGTCTGCATCGTTTCCAGACAAGAGCGAGGCATGAGGACGGAAAGGTGAAATTGCCGGGTCCAAGTTGGACAGAAGTGCCATGGCTCTTGACAAGTACTCCAACATTTGTTCAGGGTCGGACGTGTCAACTCCTTCTTCCGTTTCAATGACCTGCCGAAAGTAGCTGAATAGATCATTGTCGAAGGGAGAACTATCCCCTAGTGATACAGATTGCTTGGTCCGTTCGTATCCTGCCGCCACTACCTCGGCGGAAGAAGGCAATTGCTTTGGTTGCAATTCAATGCCAAGTTCTTGGCGTACTTCTGTGGCCAGAATTGGTATCAACTTCCCTTCTCCTACCGCAGGATCATACAGCAGGACCGCATTGGCGGCGTTGACAGAAGAATGTGGGCCTTCACTACTGAACCTTCCCGTTCTACCAGTGCGATGAGTGTAAAGCTCTGTGCTGAAGGTGCCATCTTTTCCCGAGATTCTCGGCACTCCAAATTGAACGACAAGATCGACAGCCAAATCAATCCCTCTGGATGCCACATCTGTCGCTACGAGAACCTGCTGAGTGTTGTCGCCTCGTCCTGCCTCTGTCATTTCTCGAATCAACGCAATGTTTCGCGACCTTGCGCTTTGTACCATGTCCCCATGCAAGACCCGGACGACGCCTCGCAGTTTTGTGGACAGAAAGGATGCCACGCTCTCTGCCTCCAGTTTGGACGCCACAAAGACGATCGTCAAACGGGGAGCCATGATAGATATCAAGTCCAGGGCAACGGACGGTCGGACGTTTGCCTTGCAAGACATGTGCCAGTGTTGCACCGAGGGAACGTCGCCGATGGTGGTTCTTTCGTTCGATTTGGTTGCTGTCGTCGTTGATTCTTTGGCAGATTGTTGCTGTTGTTCTTCGTCACTGAACGACGACGAGGAGGAGTGCTCTACTAGGACTTTGCTGGCACTGCCCTCGACACAGATCAGCGCTTTGGATGGAATCTCCAACTCTCGAGCAAACTCGACCACGTGCTGATTCATCGTGGCCGACACGAGTAGCAGCTGGTACTCTGGATTGTCGCTACGCTCTGGTGCATGTTCAATGGCCGTTTCCAAGTCTCCCAGAATGGCTCGAACATCGGGACTGTCTGCCCTGTCCAATAACGTGTCGCTCTCATCTAGCACAAGTGTCGTGATTTGGGAATAATCCAGGTGTCCCTCTCGCACCAATTCTCGCAATCGTCCCGGAGTGCCCACGACGACGAGTGGTTTGTTCTTTTTGAGTTGACCAATGTGGCGCTCGAGGGGCACTCCCCCGTAGACCGTGGTCACATAGGAAGATTGTTGCAGGTACTTTGAATATTCCTTTCCCACTTGTCGTGCCAATTCTCGAGAGGGTACCAGAACCAACACCAACGGTGCCGCCACCTTTTTTCGTCGGCCTGTTGGTTTTCGGGATACCAATGGCAGAACATAGGCAAGAGTTTTTCCTATAAACAAGACAAGACAAGACATTATAGTCAGCATCAGATAGATAGATGACTGCACAAGCAACATGCATGATCCAGCAAGCAGTCACGTAGTTTGTTTGGGCAGACTTTACAATAGCGTACTTACCCGAGCCTGTGGGTGCCTGAAGAACCGCGTCCTTTCCTTCAAAGATCCGCTGGAAGGCTTCTACTTGAATGGGAAGTAGAGACTGAATCCCCTTGTGTGTCATTTTTTCTGCCAAGAACGGAGGTATCTTTTCTGCAATATCTGGATCAATATTGGACGGTCTATTGTCGGCGATGCTGGGTGCATCGTTATCATTGTCATCAACATTGTCAACCTCAGCAGCCTGATTCGAGCTCAGATGCCCATCAAACGATGATAACTCAACAGACTCTTCCGTTGCACCTTCCGGTTCACCAAGTGATGATGCATCATTGATCCCCTCTTCCTTCGCTTCATCTTGTTCCTGGATTGGTGGATTTTCATCAGCATCTTCCTGTAGATGTTCTGGTTGCTGCTCAATGTAGTCAATGATATCTTGTTTCCTTCTTAGTTGTGACTTTAACCCTGGTTCCACTCGATCAGCATCCTCCAAGAGTTGCCATAATTCCTTGACTGTTCGATCTTGCAGGAGTGAGGAGTTACTGACGCTACTACTTATTCCAGTGGCGATGGCACTGCCGGTATCCGAGTGGTGGGAATTTAACACGGCTGGTCGATGCTCGGCAGGATTTGGCTTCCCAACTGGAAGCACGGGAAACACAAATCCTTGTACCCGATCCAATAAATTCAAGCTAATGAAGCAAACATAACATGCCAGAACATGCCGGTAAGCAAGAATAGTGGCAGCCATTGGAAGCAACTTTTGAACTAACTTTGAACTTTTGAAAAGAGCTGTGGTCGATTGTTGCCGTTTCTTATTTATTTGATTGGCTGTGTTTTTCTGATGGCTGAAACACGATCATGACTTAAAACAGGACCAAAAACTCGTGATTTGGCTTTCTCACGGCTCCCCACCGCTCATCTATCTTTTGGCGGATGACGTCCGGCCGCACAGAGAAGAATTCAGTTACGAGAAACGTGTGCTGTTGACAAGGCTGGTTGAAGCTGTTGTGCCTTTGGCATCTCCTCTCTTTCACAACAATCCATCCACCCATCCATCGACCACCCGCAAAACAGCAGTGACACTGTTGCCTTTGTCAGATAGATAGATAGATAGATAGTATAGTTAGTGAAAATGCCCCCCAAGAAGAAAGCAGGCAAAGGCGGCAAGGACACTGGCGAAGGAGACGGTCTGACCCGTATTGCCATTGTCAGTGCCGAGAAATGCAAACCCAAGAAATGCCGTCAAGAGTGTAAAAAGTCGTGTCCCGTCGTCAAGCTGGGGAAACTCTGTATTGAAGTGGGGCCCACCAGTAAACTCGCCTTTATCGCGGAGCCTCTTTGTATTGGTATGTTGAGTAGTATACCCATTCAGTCCAACCAACCAATCAACCCTTATCTTGGTTAGGATTGCTCACAGATTCCATTATTTTCATTTCTACTTCTATACTATAGGTTGCGGTATCTGCGTCAAGAAATGTCCCTTTGAAGCCATCAACATTATCAACTTGCCCAAGGATCTGGAACGGAATACCACCCACCGATATGGACCCAACTCGTTCAAGTTGCATCGATTGCCCATGCCGCGTCCGGGACAGGTACTGGGATTGGTCGGGACCAATGGAATTGGGAAATCCACCGCACTCAAAATCCTGGCCGGAAAAATGAAACCCAATCTAGGACGATACGATTCTCCACCCGATTGGGAAGAAATTCTAGTTCATTTTCGAGGATCCGAATTGCAAAATTACTTTACCAAGGTACTAGAGGATACACTCAAGGCAACCATCAAGCCACAATACGTCGATCACATCCCGCGGGCCATCAAGGGTAAAGTGGGAGAAATCCTCAAAATGAAAGATGATGTGAGTACTACAACATGTAGAAAAATATACTTCCTTTTTGTGCTTGAAACCAACCATCTGAACCTGATTTTCTGCCCTTTTATGAATCAATATTGCAGAGATCAGAAGCAGAAGGCAAAGATGTGCTGGGATGGGCACTCAGAGAGGCCGAGTTGGAACATCTCGTCGATCGGGACATTCGTGTCTTGTCGGGAGGTGAACTACAGCGATTCGCCATTTCCGCCGTCGCCGTCCAAATTAGTGATGTATACATGTTTGATGAACCATCGTCCTACCTGGATGTCAAACAACGTCTCACCGCCGCCGCCATGATTCGAGAAATCCTAGAGGCAACCAATGGTGATCGGCGTTTTGTCATGGTCGTCGAGCACGATTTGGCCGTTTTGGACTACCTGAGTGACTTTGTCTGTGTCCTGTACGGACAGGCTGGAGGATATGGAGTCGTTACCATGCCTCACAGTGTGCGCACGGGGATCAATGCTTTCCTCGCTGGTTTCATCCATTCCGAGAATCTTCGATTCCGTGATCATGCTCTTTCCTTCAAGGTAGGTTCTCAAGATCGCATACATGCAGCATCGTTGTCATCGTGGACGTGTACTCTGACAAATCATTCCTCCCACGCATTGGATGACAGGTTTCAGAGCGTGCCGAGGAAGAGAAAAAGGTGGACATCATGAAAGCATACAGCTACCCCGACATGACAAAGACCCAATCTCGGGATAAATCCAAGTTCATCTTGCACGTGGACAAAGGAGAATTTACAGACTCTGAGATCATCGTCTTGTTGGGAGAAAATGGTACCGGAAAGACTACCTTTGTTCGTATGCTGGCTGGACTCCTCAAGAGTGATGAACAGGTCAAGTTCGAGGAGGAAGGCTATGACTACGAAGCCTCCCAGGCCGGAGTGCCAGATTTGAATGTCAGCTACAAACCACAGAAAATCTCACCCAAGTTTCAGGGAACGGTTCGACAACTTTTGCACAAGCGCATTCGTGATTCGTACGTGCATCCCCAGTTCATCTCGGATGTCATGAAACCCTTGGTGATCGACAATATTATCGACAATGGCGTCCAGACGCTTTCTGGTGGAGAATTGCAACGTCTGGCCATTGTCCTGGCCCTAGGAAAGCCTGCGGATGTGTATTTGATTGATGAACCCAGTGCCTACCTCGACTCGGAGCAACGTATCAATTGTGCCAAGGTGATCAAGCGGTTCATCATGCACAGCAAGAAGACTGCCTTTGTCGTGGAGCACGATTTCATCATGGCAACCTACCTTGCTGACCGTGTTGTGGTGTACCACGGTAACCCAGGAGTAGAAGCTACGGCTTCTGCCCCGCAGTCGCTGCTGACTGGTATGAACCAGTTCCTCAAGAGTTTGAAGGTGACATTCCGTCGTGACCCTACCAACTTTCGTCCGAGGTAAGACCCACAACTGGTTCGTTCTCGTTTGTTGCAGTTTTACTGCTTCTCGCGACACCAAGATCTGGGAGGACGATACACCCATCTCGTAGCCTGGTTTGCTTCCTCTTGTGGGTTGCATGCACTGTTTTAGTGTTGGCAATGCGAGCTGAAAGTCTAAGTTTTAATTTCTAACCGGTCTTGGCCGTCGCATCCGGTTGTTCGTGATTGTTCTTCTCTCGATCGCCTCCACTCACTTAATCCTTTCGTCTGCCCTGTACAGAATCAACAAGAAGGGCTCCCAGAAAGATTGTGAACAAAAGAAGAATGGCAATTACTTCTTCTACGATGATGGCGCGGATGACGAGGAGGAGGAGGACATTGACGACTTCGATCTCTAAGGCTGCCAGGCTTGGTGCAATCTCTCTGTGCCAAGAAGAGGAGGCGAAGTCGGCGTCTAGTAGTAGATTTGGTTAGATGTCGTTTGCTCGACGTGATGTAAACAGGTTTGAGGCCCGTGCAACGGAGCGACCATCAGATTCGAAGGTCAGAAGAACGATCATGGCATCCTGTAGAGAAATAGCTGACCCGTCGACCGACCGAAGGAAGTTGCCGCCCTGAAGAACGATCGATAAGCCGCCTTTACCAACTAAAGCCAATGAAAGGATACGAAAAAGGAATGAGTTCGAACTAAGATTCATGTTTTGAGAGATGTAGCCATTGCTAACAAAAAACTAGATGCCCTTTCTGCCGGGGTGTTGTTCCGGGCAAGGTGCAGAGCGAGCCCCTGTCGTCTTTGTCGGGCGTGAAGTAGGGTTTGGTAGGAACCGGCTGTGCTTCGTGTTCGTGTGTGTCCTTGGTAGGGATTGTGTGCAGATGGGAGGCTAGTTAATCCAGTCTGTGAGACCGAAGACCTTTTTTGAACGCCTTGGCCTGTTTTAGGTTGTTGTTGTTGACTTGCAAGAACACTGGAATGCCCGAAGGCAGAGCCGCGCAGAGCCCCATTGCCATCTAGCTAGGATTAGGTACAGTACTTCAGTACTAGATCTGATACATTGTTGCTATGCGAGGCTACAAGCTCGGGGTGGAGCTACTATGACTGCGAAGACCGAGACGTATCATGAGAAGAGAAACGGTTCTCTGCGTTGTGGAAGCCCCGGAAAGCGCAGAGAAAGCAACTTGGGTGCTGGACACAAGTCTCATAGATAGAAGGACGTCTGATTATTTGTACATGCTACATGACTGCAGCCCTATTTGCAATTTGAGTGACAGACCAGCTATCTAGCTGCAGTGACAGTGAAGTATTAGCTAAATAAGAAGAGCTACTCTAAAGGCCTGTTGTTCAACATTTGCGTGCACAGGGATAGTTGTGCCGATCTGCCCGCCCTTGGTGAGATGGGCAAACTCTAGCTAGATGTCCAGCAAGACGTAGAGCCGTCACTTTCATGTTTGGGATTGCAATAGTATTGATATTGTTTGTCGGTTTTGGTGTATTTGTTGATCCTTAGAGAATTTACAAGATAGAACCAGCGTTGGCAGCAATACGGGGCCAAAGCTCGGCACATTCCTTTGCAACGGGTCCGGACACACCGGAACCCTTCATTTCTCCCTTGTTGTTGACAATAACGCCGGCACTATCTTCAAAGTGGATAAAGACTCCTTCCTTTCTGCGGAATGCTTTGCGTTGTCTGACAATCACTGCGGGCATGACCTTCTTACGAAGTTCGGGCTTTCCCTTCTTGACAGAGCACATGACCATGTCTCCAGATCCGGCCTTGGGGTACCTATTCAATCGTCCTCCAATATTGCACACGGCGATGATATGCAAGTTCTTGGCTCCGGAGTTATCCGCGCAGTTGACCACGGCGGCGGTGGGAAGACCTGCCGAAACTCGGTGCTTGATACCAGAGGCAAGAGCCCGACCACGCTTTACTTTCTCACTCATGATCTATATAACTGCAAATGGAAAAGAGAACAAGCAAATTCTACTGTAAGTGACGGATTTTGACCTCCCTCTCTTGCTCATTGTCCCCACAACCAACAACTTACTTCCAGAGATGAATTGACAGGGGACGACGAAGCGAGCAGCCGAGAAGAGCCATTTGCGTGGAAACGAATGGTTTAGTAAAGGGGTAAAGTACACAGGATTCATCGTTCGAGTGATTGGATTGGAATGAAATAAAGAACCGTGACTAAATCAACCAGTCATGGATACTGAGAACCGTTACCCGGGTACCCTGAGGGAGAAACGGACTGTTCTCTCGCTCGTTAGAAAGCTGATCTCCCGCTCGTTTGCGTCTCTTGAAAGAGGCAACGCTTTCGGCGCATTCTTCCAGGCAGACCATAAAATGCGTCAATCTGATCCAAGCTTTCAATCTACCGGTATTGATCAAGAAAGAAGAATGACAAAGGACGACCATGATGCTGTTCCGGCTGTTCTGGCCACGGAAATGTCATCGTTGCTGTCAACCACCCATGGTCAAGAGCGCCGCGTCCAACGCAAAATCGACAAGGTTCAGTTGCAAAGAGCAAGGCGCTATGGTATGAAAGAGCCATCCAGAGAAGGGCGAATCAAATACACCTACGGTGGAGTTGTGTTTGTATATGATCCGGACAAATGCTGTGAAGTCACCTCATTTCGATCACGAGACATTGCATCCAAAGTCTCCGGGACGAAATGTGTCAAGCCAATCATGCTGGCCAAGAATAGTGTATACGAGACTGAAGCCATGAGGAAAGCACATGCAATGGTACAAAAGGAAATGCTAGAAACCAAGAGTAAATGGACCAGCCATTCCGTGTTGGTGGTCGATATGTCAGGATCCATGCGGCGAGATGACGTGAATGGGGCAAGGTGCCGCTCGGATGGAGTATGGATGATTTTGGCTCGCGATTTTGTCAAGCATCAGCTTGAATCAGGATCCTGTTCCAGTACAGATGTTGTGAGTGTGGTGTTAATGAAGAAGGATGCTGAAGTCGCCTTGGAATGTGAGCCAATGGACTGGGTACTTTACAATGATCTGGTGGACAAGCGAGAATGGTCCGAGCTTCGACCCTGTGGCGACGGGAACTACATGCCGGCATTGGAGATGGCAGATCTCCTTCTCGATGCCAACAAGCTTGGTAGCTGCTCACTGTCACTGATGTTCTTCTCTGATGGGAAACCTTCTGATCATGGAGACTTTGCCTCAAGAATGGGAACTATTGCTTCCAAATTTGGACGGCGATTGTCGATCTCGTGTATTGGTATGGCAGACAAGGAGGAAGATTTCTCGACACTTGAAGCCATGGTCCGAGAAGCCAAGCAATTTGGTGCCGTGGCATCCTTTGACAAGCCATCACTTGACACGGATAGTCTGGCAAACATTGTCTCCACCCTCATCACAACAATGACGACGACGAAGACTGAGATAACTGACATCACCACGGGCAAAGTCCAATCTGTTCGCACAGACATTAGACGAGAAAGGAGCAATACACCTGATGACCTGAAGCTGAATGAGAACTGGGACACATATCACAATTCAAGCAACTCCAACTATGTTGCCCGTGTCTGGAGCTGGAGTACGAAGAAGGATGATTTCGTCTACATCATGGACCCTCGTTGTGGGGAATGCTATCAAGTTGTGGGAGATATTGACACTACAGCGAACAAAGGTCAGCTTTGCAGTCGCTGCAAGGCATGCTTCTATTGTAACTCACCAGCTTGTCAACAAGCCCTACACAATCACCAGTCATCACATGAATGTGTTGAGTTCCTGGAGGATCGACGTGCAAAACAGCTGATTCCACGGAGGCTTCCATCGTTCTCCTTTGCCGTGAAGAAATCAGCATGTGGAGAGGGCGCAGAGCGGCTAGTTCGAAATTGTCGATGGCTTGATGCACAACAGGGGTAAGTCCAGAGAATTGCTTATCATGCCCATCAACAGAGCATCACAATGTCAGAAGCCTCTCACATGCATACTCCTTTTTCCTGCACTCACAGATTCATTGGGCCTCGCATGGTTGCAAAAGAATCTCGATTCGTGGAGAAGAAGGGCTCATACACCAGCAAAATGGATTACCACCGGCAGTTCATGAGAACACAGGTTTTGGCACAGCGCTTTGCAGAGAAGTTCAACGAAAACCTTGATGAGGTGTATAGTCACTTTGATGAGGTACACCATGACACTCTCAAGTGTCTTCCAAGGATCCAATTTCTAGAACCTCTTGTGCTGGAGCTTCATGAAGGTGACAAGGACCTTATTCTGTTGGTAGAGCCAAAGTTGGAAGGGGCTTACTGCAAGTTTTCGAGCAACAATGGCTGGCAGTACGAGACAGAAGACACGAGCGCCTGGGATGGAGCCTCCTTCCGCAGTTTTGTCGAGGGGTCCTCAGATTTCAGTCTAGTAGAGAGAAACGCGTTTCAGGGCGGCGGCCTGGGTGCAATTGAAGAAGGAAGTGAAGATGAAGAAGAGGAGGATGACGATGGGATCATGGACGACAGCATCATGGCCCCCAATTTTGGGACGACCTTCAAACTCTCAGAGGATCTATTCCCTCCTGCCTTCAGTCACTTTACATATGAGAAAAGCAAGCAACAGTTCATGGTGGTTGATCTCCAGGGTGTGTTGCATGTCCGACCAGATGGGACTCGTTGCTTCATGCTGACAGACCCAGCAATCCATCGAAAAAGGAAGAGCCCCAATCCTCTGTCGCACAGTAACATCAACCTGGGTCGAACTGACCGAGGGGAGAAGGGAATCAAAGCATTCTTTGAAACTCACGAGTGCAACGATGTTTGCCGAATGCTGGGCCTACCACACGCACCCAACCACGAGGATTGATTTGTTTTGGCGCGATCGAAGAGCTCTCGACGTGTGCTTCCTATAAAGGAAAATGCACCCGTCGAAGACTAGCATGACCACAAGGCTGATTTTTATGATAGTTCTAATAAATTTTCAGGAAACTAGATGAATTATTGGATCATCAACCCAACTGTGTTTCTGTGCAAGCCTCTTAAAACTCATCACCCATTCCAAAGTCCTCTTCGTCCTCATCATCATCCTGGCAAAAGCGAAAAAAGGAAAAATGTGAGCGACCAAATCCAACAAAGAAGACGCTCTAAAAATCTCAAGAAAACTTACACCTCCTTCTGCCGCTCGCTTGGCTTCCTGTGCCGCATCATACATTTCCTTCTCTGCGTCCTTCTTCTTGAAGAACGTTTCTTTTGCGTACTCCTCGGCTTCCTCAATGCTGTCAGTGACGATGATATCATCAAACAGCGTACCAGTCTTGACTTGCCACAATTCGAATCCTACATGAGTACATCCGTCCTTACAGACCTTGTACATATCGTCATCATGTTTGTAGTCAGGGTTGGGAATCTTGGGGTGTACCCACTTTCCTTTGTAGTCAGGGTTGTCAATCATGTTTGGCTTCCATGGTCCCTTGTAATCTGGGTTGTCGATCATTGGTGGTTCCCACTCGCCGTCGTCTTCATCGTCCCAATCATCAGGCTTTGTTGCATCAGGATCGGGAATTTCCTCGGCAATATCGTCGTAGCCTTCTGGCTTGACGTCCGCGGGATCAGCGATTTTGGCCTCATCCACCCAGTCATCGGGCTTCTTGGCATCAGGATCCTTGATTTCCTCGGGTGGGAGGAGATCAAATTCATCCTGCAATTTTCCTTCCCGCACAGACTTGTTGTCCACGCGAACCTCAAAGGTGTTATCCGACTTCAAAATGAAGGTGTACAAATGGGTCAAATCGTCAGTTTCAGTGGGGACTTCCTTCTTGATCAAAACATTGTCTTCCTTGGGTTCATAGTGAAGAATAACGTGGGTTTTCTTGTTGGAGCTTCCACAGACATCAGGACCAAACATGACGGCATATGGTGTGTCCCCACCAAAGTTGTCAGCATCAAACTTGTCTCCGCCAGGAAGCAATTTAATGTAGGCACCGCCACAGTCCAAGTCCTGTTCGTGCTTGACTGTGTATTGGATAACTAGAGTATTCCCATCACTGGTAAAAGTCTTGGCCATGGGAGCAGAAATTCCATAAAATCGGGCATCCTTGGATGTTTGAATTCCCTTATCCTCTTCACTGCCATACCACTCGCCGGCAGTGTGCTTCCAATCTCCCATCTCGCTCTTTCCCTTCCACTTGCTGGGAACAGTCCACCTCTTACTCCAGCCCTGCAAAAATAAAAATGAAGAAAGAGAATTTTAATGAGACGACAGAGTACCACACCGCAACCTGAGTATCCCAACACGAAAGGATGGAATAGAAATGCCGTGGATATCGTAACGAGTCCAGTCGGGTAGACATCAGCACCAATGCAGCCATCGAATCGAATCCTTTTTCTCGTGGATTCTCAATCAATCTCATTCGACTCACATCATCATTGAAGTCTTCCTTGAGGTAAATTTCGGCAGCCACGGGGGCCACAAGGGCAGTCAGAACGGCAGCAATTGAGAATTTCATGGTGGGCAGCAAAGAGTTTCCACAACAAGCAAGGCAATGTTATAGTAATATGCCAGGCAAAGTCTTTTTTGAGAAGATCCAATGGCAGACCCGAGAAAAAGACAAAGAAGTCTCAAAGAAAGGAGCCGAACAATGCTGCCAGAGCTCTACACAAATCCTGGTAGACTTTTTCACGTGGAAAATCTATCCCTTTCGACGGCCAGCTGCGCACCTTTCGCGCGAAACATTTTAGTTTCAAAGCTTTGATCGTTATGCTGCATACAGCCAACGGACAAATCCTAATCACACTGGTAATCAAATACTTAGGTCACAATGCTTGCAGACTTGCTCGTGGCTGGGCTGGCGGGACCATTTTGGGAGGGGGTTTCAAATTGCCAGTTGTCAATTTTAATTTGTTTGATCGGCTTGGTCGAATCACAATCACAATCACAATCACATTTTAGCAGGATTCAAGAGTGGGAATGCAAGTAAGTAATCCTTCCACTAACCCTCTGCAGAACCCCAAAGCAGAACATACAACAGAACGAGCAACAGCATGTTCTTGTCTTGATGATGCCAGGAGGAATCTGTTGTGACGAGCCACTTGTCGTTCTCCATACACTGGTGCCTAGATCAACGCTTTATTGAATTAATTCTCTTTTGGTTAGGCATTGTGGCTAGAGGGCTTGGTCGAGAGTGGCCTGGGAGCCCGATCTAGGTTTCTTCTTTGGTTGTTGGACCAACTAACTGGAGGCGGCCCTACAAACAGTACTACACCAGTACCGTAGGAACACCCAGATTTCTGTTCTGAGAAAGAGTCAGAACAAAAGTCATCGACATCGCCCGTGATGCACATGCACATGCCTGCCTACTAGCAAGTTGACATCTCGCTTTCTGCCTTCTCAAAACCAAGAAGTATGGCAATCAGCCAAACTACAGAAGAGTGAAAAACCTTTGAAAATATGCTATGACATGTTCCTATTCTAAAGCAACTACACGTGTAGGAGCTATCAATCAGAATCCTTTCAAAACACAAAAGAATCCATCCAGAGTCAGAGAGTTCTTCAGATTTTGCTTGCCTTGCGGGGCCCGGGCTGATCTACGGTATCTCGACCAGGTCCCATAACATGGATCCAACCATTCATTCGGCTTGCAGAATGCTCGTCGAATCCATCAGAACTTCACCCGGCATTGGCGGTCTTTAATGCTCCCATAGCTTTGTCTTTCTCTTGTCAATCATCAGATGGCAACTATTGTCGGAATCAGCCTGACACAGGAGACAGACAGCTCAGCATCAAAAACAGGCAATTCTGATGCTACACCAATGCCATTTCTCTGACGGTAGGACAGACGAGCATGGAATACCGTTGTTATTTGTTCATCCAACGACTCTTGGCCGGAGTCTTGAATGGATGGTCTCCATGTCAGGAGGATTGGATCCAAAATCTTTCGTGGTAGACAGCTACATGCGTGGGTGGTTTTAGATGCCGATGCTTTCAACACATCAGCGTCCCTAATTTTTTGGACGAACACCAAGTGGATATCGCCTGTGATCAACAACAGACAGTCAGTGAGCCGAATCAATCCCCCCAATCATACTGCGACAGACGAACGATACAGCAAGCACATGAGCAGAGCAGCAGTGTAACCAAGCATGGTCGCATAGGAAAGTTAAGGAGGGCACAAACTAGACGGTACGGTAGGATATCGGCATCGATGAGCGACTTGGGGCCCTTTGTAGCCGCTCACTTGCGGGACAAAGTGGTAGCCGATCTGCTTCAGGAGAACAAGCAACTGAAGATCCAACTGAAAAGTTCTCGAAGGATTGCCATTGCTGGTCCAGGAGGGTCGCCGGTCTATGCCGAGAAAGATTTCGCTCATGGTCGCTATGATCCAACAGAGAGGGCTGGGGAGTGGTGGGAAGTGCCTTTCTCCGAAGTGCCTGGCCAGCAGACCGACAACTGCTGCACTCTCTCCACTCTGCCAACCTGCGAAGTTCGCATCGGTAGCTTTGTCAAGCTCAAGATGGGAGAGTTTGATCAATTGTACGTGAGCAACTACAGTAGGGAGCTAGCCATGGTGAAGGTGAAGTATAGTAGCATCGACCCTTGCTTGGAGGTTGGGGTGCACATTCCCATGAGTGAGCCGCTGTTCCAATCCATATATTCTAGGACTCAGCGCTTGGATAGTGGGTCATCACTCTTTATGGATCTTATCCCAACGGACACGGATCTTCCTGTGATCTTTGAAGAGGTCGTCTTCCATGCCGAATCTGCAAGGCAAGCACTCTTAGACTTTGGAGTCGAAGGAGTGGAATGGCTCGACAGGGAAGACACAAGTAGTGAGGAATCGGCAACAGAAGGTCTGGGCAAGACCTGCAGTGGCCGTACTGGTACCGGCACAGGCAAGTCCACAGGGACGCCTTGAAATCAACCCCCTGTGACTATTATCTATTACCAGTATCAACAGAGCGATGAGCCAATCGAGCGCTTGATATCAGGAAGTGGAACAAGGGGTGTTTCATCTTATTTGCGCCCAATGAATGCCCGTACAAGAATAAACCAAAGCAGCCAACGGCATTCCCACGCGATCCTGGCTGAAGTAGACGAAGCAAGCAAGAGCAACCCGCAATCAGTGCGCCTTCAGCAGCAGTGCAGCAGCAACCATGGTAACGCTCAATCATGGGTCATGTCAATATATTTGGAAGGACCCCCACCAGGGTCTCTTTTCCTTCAAATTGCAGCTAATAACGTGTAAAGTGAACCAAATGTTTCTGTCAATTGGTGTGTTGATGCCTTGAAGTACCATTCCCTCATGAGCGCTGTCGTGCCCCCGGCCCGTTGTTCAGAGAAATAGTTGATGGCTCCATGTATAGTTCTTTTTGACAATCACATACATGATGCCAGGAAGTGCGGCCCTCCTGGGCGGAGGAAGAGAGAAGATCTCGCTTCGACGCTTATTGGTTGCTGATCAAAAGTCACATTTATTCTGACATCCATGTTTATGCATTTGCGACGGTATCACCCGTCGTCCCGACATCTTGCGAGAACCTTGCTACTCTTGTTGCTCCACCGTCGCGTAAGGCACAGCACAGCAATGGTACCCCGCAGACATCATCAACTAAATTCCTACCACTCATATCCACATCAGCAGCCACAAGAAGACGACCAGAAGAATCATTCGCTGATCTGATCACTTATTGTTGTCAAAGCCTCGGCTAAGACATGGATTCTGAATCAAACGCTCTCGACTTCTAGAACCAGACATGCTTGACCTTTGCGCTTCTTGGGAACAACAGCTCAACAAACCGCCCACAGATCTTCACTGTCCCAGTGGATTGGCAATGTGACACCAGCATCAAAGAGGCAGGAGCCACTACGACTTGCAATCTTCAGCCTGGCAACTTGCAATTGGGATGTTGGTATTCTTTGTTTTCTTCCTCCTTCCGCATCTGCTTCGCGTTAGCAATCCTCCCTCATCATTTCAAGCACCCACCACTGCATCCAAGTGGTCTCCCAAGTTGATTGTACACATGTGGCTATGACTTTGTTTACTCATCCGCTGGCAGGACCACCCTGCCCCTCCGAGTAGCCTGTCTTCCAAGGTCTCTACCTTTCTCATCCAAACCATACCGTCTAGCAATGGCCCCCAGCCAACTCAGCGTTTCCACCGATATTTGACCGACGGTAGCCGCCACAATCAAGGGCCGAGCACCACCCATTGTCGTTTTGTCGTCACTAGTAGTGACCCCATCTTCTTCTTCTTCTGTGGGGCCGAAAAGTTTTGGAGCGCTTGATTGGCGCTCCATCCAACCGGATCTTACCCAGTCCTTCGGACTGCGTGTTTTCATTTCGAACCGACTGTCGGGTTCGTGGCTCTTGTTTTCGACCCACCCTTCGACGTACTCCAACTGGTGCTGCTGGTCTGCCGATGATACAACATGCGAGTGACTCTTGGTAAGGACAAGTGTGATGCTGATGCGAGTTGGATCTCCATCACTACTCTTGTTTCCGGCAACCGTCAGCTCTGGATCTTCTTCGTCTGCCAAGCGAGTTGCCATGTCCGCTAGCGTCGTGGCGTCTTTGGAGGATAACAACCTCAGATCCGCTTCCATCTTTCGATCAAACGTGAGTCCCACATTTCCTAATTGGGTAGTGATGAGACTGACCGATTCCGGAGAAATGCTATCGTAGTGCACGCGACAAGCAACCCAGTCGTCAGGATCTTCATTGTTGTTGCTACTGGGAGCAACGTCCTGAATGGCCACTTCGCAGCTCCCATTGACACTGCCCAGTTCTACCAATGGCTGGTGTTCGTCGCATGGTCGGTGCACACCTGAGGATTGTACAAGAACCGGACCGTGATGGGACTTGATGCGGACTGCACGTTTGGTCGGCTGGAGTGGTCCCTGCAAGGTGACGTGCGCCCCACCCGTGCCCGACACGTACATGGAACTAATGTCCACCAGGGAGCCTTCATCGTCGTCATCCAGTTGTTCAAACACATGAAGTAGATTGTTTGGTGGTTGTGCTGTTGATAATGATTGTTGCTGTGTGGCCACTACTTGAATATCCACCGTCTCGCCATGAATCCGTTTGGACCGGAATCTCCCTCCACCACTTAGATTGATGCTTAACTTTTGAGCCTCCAACAGATCCGATGCATGAATGTAGGCATCATGGCTCGTCGTCTCGAGCTGTATCGAATGGCCTCTCAGTTTCTTGACACGAACGTTACCGCCTACAGTCTTGAGTTTGACATCACCTTCAATCTTGTTGGTGACATCGATGGAACCTCCATGTTCTAGCTCACAGACGAGGTTGACCTTCTCGGGTACATCTAGAGTGAGCTCCACAATACTAGCTCTTTCATTGCCTTCTTCTTCTACCCATACCTGACTGACCACTCCGTCTTTGTCTTTCATTTCAAGAGGGTTGGACTTGTCATGGACTTTCAGGTCAATGGCATCGAGTAAGCTGCCGTCCAGAGCAGACGGCAAGTAGTTCTCATCTTGTTGTGGTTGATGCAGGGAGATGGAGACATGTGACGCAGTCCTTCCCAAAGACGTGACTTGGTCGTCCGCTTGGTCCACAGCCAAGTTCACTAATGGCACCTTCTTGCTGCTACCCGTAGGCAGGGAATGCAACAAGGTGACAGCTCCATCGTCTCGCCAAGCCGACTGAATCGTCAAGGCAGTGGGGATTCTGGAGCGAAAGGACAGAGTTGTTCCCTGCTTGACACTGGGAAGAGACACGGTCCGGCTCAAACGCAGCAAGCGGCCAATGGCGCTACCACCACTCATTTGATGTGATGGGCGGATGGCTTGATGGATGGGGTCGTGCTGCTAGGCTTGTAGTGGCTGGATGGTACAGTACTGCCTGCATGGTACTACCTACCTGCTTGAGGTTCTTGCTTCTTCCTCAGGTTGTTGTTGAAGCGATCCTTCGTGTATCTTTGGACGCGAAGGCGTTGTTGGTCAGTTCTGTCGCACTCGGGAATCACAGAATCCTTTTTTTGTTCACGTCATGATGCCAACTGACTCGACTCGACTGCAACCGCAACTCCGCAACGCCGAAGGTCAGGCCGCCAAGATGATTGATGTCACGTCACAGATAGAGACAGCTTGAAAGGACGCTCTCTCCTTTCTGCCTTTAGAAAAGGGAGAGAAGCCAAAGCTTTGTGTCCAAAGCTTGGGGTCTTCTTATTATTAGGGGTACCTTCGAGGTTCTACATACATGCACAAAAATGAAGGGAATCCAAATAATGCTTCCCACGCTACCCCTTATTATTGGGTGTGGGATCCTCCTGCTGAGGCCAACGTGCAGCGGCTTTCAACCGCAACGTCCTACGATTATTAATAGTCAGAGATCGTCATTACTATTATTAAACCAGGAAAGATTCTCCATGATCAAGCCGATCCATACAAGGCTATCGGAACGACAACGAAATGACGACGACAACAATATGTCTCCAACTGACGACTCGTCTTCCTTTCCGTCCCTGATTACCGAAAATCCTGCACGATCCCTGTCCTTTTCCGCAATCATGGCAATCTGTGGAGCTGCATTGGGTCCATTTCTGGATTCCTACCATTCGGCCTTTGGAGTCTTGCAGTACAATGAACCCATCACGGCAACTCTGTGGGGTACATCCGCCGACAATCCAGCCTTGATTACGGCGTGGTGGGTGCCAGTGCTATTTGGAGTGGCCGGATGGTTGATTGGGTGGCTCTACATTGTATTGGACGCAGTTTTACAAACAACACCATCCCAAAAAAGCAAAACAGACCCATCACCACCCAAAATTCTCGTGGGAATCTCCCTCTTTACCCTCCAATATTGGTTGAGTGGCATTTTCGTGGCCGCTGGTGTCTTGGACCGAACCGGGATACTCAATTTCATGTCTCTCTATGCAGCTATTGGTTTTGTGGTATTGGATGGGACTCTGGCAGGATTCATCACCAGTGCTGCCACCGCTCTGGGAGGACCACTCATTGAAGTCGGACTCTTGTCCATGTCAAGGGCAGGAATCATGCCAGGAGGATATCACTACAATGATCTAGGGGAAACTGGATTCTTTCCACTCTGGATTATCCCAGTCTACTTTCTGGGCGGACCAGCTGTGGGCAATCTGGCACGGGGGTTCTGGAATGCTCTTGGCAGCAACGACAATGTCAAGGTGACTAGCAGAGATAACACAGCCGGAACAGCAGCAACAACAACAATAGAAAAGCCTGGGTGCAAGCAATGCAACGATACCCGTTGTGTGCCCTGTCCGAATTGTGACGGTGTAGGAGACTATGTCACCTATGGCAAATCTGTAAAGTGTACAAGGTACGTAGCAGAGACGCAGCAATGTATAGAGTGCCTCAACATTGCTAAGTTGCATTTTAACAAGATGCTTTCTTTTCTATCGACTGCCACAGTTGTTCAGGTCGAGGCTTTGTCATTTGTAGATCTTGTTTCGCAAGTTACAATGAAGATCCAAATGACATTGAAGCAATACGAGACCTCGTGAGTCGCATGCCTGATTAATCAAAATACACTCCACAACTCTCAGCTACAGAACAAAGCTTTTGAATAGTATAGCCATTAGTGTATTCCCGAGGCAATCTGCTGGGCATTCAGGTATTAATACCGTAGTCTTTGAATGGCATCCAAATCAGCCAACTTGCGGAGAAGCCGCTCAGATTTCGTTGGCCGTGTGAATTGTTTCCCAGGGCCTGCATGTGTTCCTGTGATCGTACATGTACTTCCATTTCAAAAGCAAAGCCCTTTCCGACTGCCCGTGCAAAAGACATGTCTTGCCCCATGCTTTATCTCATACTCCCCTCAGCCCGCAACACTGCAGACATTTACGCTACCTAATAGCTTGTGCCTATAATCCAAGAAGTAACTGACCCCGCTTTCAAGAGGGACATGTCTGTGAATGCACAGAGAGAGCACTAATCAATCTTTTATAGTACCTGACTGTTAGCGGAAGAACTCCAGGTGCAAGAGGTCCTGCTGGTGGCACAAACCACAGGGGTGTTTCTTTCTCCGCACATGTAGCTTCTATGATCAAAATTGATCCGTAAAAGAAGTCACCAACTTTACTGGCACCTAAAGGCTACCATTGGTTTCCAACTGTGCTTATCTCTGGTCCGTCTATCTCCAGGACCCACTCTAGCCAACGCCCCATGATCCCCACAGGCCCCAATGCCGGACCAGCTCCAGGACCAGCACAAAAAACTTCCCGAAGACTTCACACTGGCACATCTCCAGTACGATGTACCAACCCATTGCACAAGACAAGGATCAACTCTTGGCCCAGCGCTAGCTAGGATCGGCGTCAATGCTGGACCAACTCTAAGACTAGCCCAAGGACCCACTCTGTGCGCCATCTCTGGATCTAACCATGGCCCTACCCCGCTTTCTGGCCACACCGTGAACTTTGTACCCTCGAGCCTTATTACGCGGCAGGATTGGGCCCGACTCGTCGCTCGAGTCCGTGAGGTTTCCTCGCGACTTAATGATGGGGGTTTCAAAGGGGGCTAGTTAAAACATTTTTTGGCAGAGCTCCACTATCAAAACATCAGTGGCAGGACCAATTTTTCAATCAGGTATACGGAGGCTTTTGAACTGGTTGGCACAGCCATGGTAAAGCCCTCGCCTATTGCTGCTTACACAGATTCAAGTAGACATGACAAATAGCATGGGATCCAATGTGAAAAAGCTATGGGAAGAAAAGGCTATGGGGTGATCTACATCTGGTAATGGAATTGGGGGTTCCATTGAAAACTTTTCAGTGTTGCAGATGTACTATTAATAGTACCATTTTGGGGACCAACCATACTCCCCCACGGAAAAAAGCACCACTGAAGAGACAGCTGAAGGGACAGATGCTTTCCTAATTGAAGCAACCACAAGACAGAAAATAGGACAAAGAAAGTTGGTTGAATGTGATGTCATCCCTATCAGGACAGTTGACAAGACGCACACTCCAAAGCAGCCCGCCTCCTCACTCATCCACCACAACAATAGCAACACAATGGTGGAGTGGAGGAGCAGCTGAGCGCTACTAGTACTACTACTATTACTACTATTACTACTATTACTACTATTACGGGTAAGTCTATTATCAAGTGTGTTATTATTGAAGGCGCAGCACTGAATTCTCTCCCTCATTGAATTCCTATGGTAAACAGGAGAGAAATATCAGCTTGACTGACAGCAATGGTGAGTGCTTTATCCTCATGCACTCCAATCGGCCTTAGTTGAATCGATCTATTGAATCGACGTAAGCCTATTATCAAGAGTGTTTGTTGAAGGTGTAGATTCGAAAGCCATCCCTCATTCATTCTATGGACCAGCCATTGGCTGGCATTCAGTTCTCGGCCGTCAACAGATGAATTGTTTTAATTATTCGAGTCGAATCGCTGCACCATTTTTATCAAGCATCACTCAAGCCATCCTTCTCCGGTGCAGATTCGAAAGCCATCCCTCATTGAATCCTATGGACCATGGGATGACAGTCAGTTCTCAGCCCATGGCAGCCAAGTTGGTGCAATTTGAAAAAACAAGGGTAAGTCTCCGGTCGTCTGCAGTATCAGAATAGAAGAGAAAACTATATCTATTTCTTATTTTCTATTCTCTCACTGCTGACGGCCAAAGAAATACCATTATCGAGTCCTTTTCGAATGAACAATCGCTCCGGATAACAACAAGAAGAGAGGCTACCGATACAGAGGAGACTGTTAACTCCAGCCCTAGCAACATTCTGAACGGAGTAGATCGTCGTCAAGTCATTGAAAAGGGAACAGGAGCGAGCCAACAACACACAAGAGAGTGGATCCTACTACTGGATTCATCCCTCCAGTGTTATTTCCTCGTGTTTTAGTGGTGATTCCTCTGTCGGTACCAATTTTCCTGCATGCACTAGTCGGTCGTCGAGGACTTGGTGGATTGGCTAAGTTGACAAGTCGACGACTGGCCTCTTTCGAAAGATAGATGTAACTAAACTAGTAAAATAATAGAAAGCCGATACCAACCAATAGATCATTCCTTCCATTAGATAGACAACTCATGAATTAATAGCAGAGCTAGGTCCAGGTTTGTTTCACTCTTGGATGTCAATCCACAAGGTTACCTTGCAGAGAGTGAAGGGTGGTTACGGATCTGTATTGTAGGGCCAACCTTACCCTCAGGTTTGATAAGGTACCTTTTAGATTCGTATCTTACATTCAGGTCTCAGATGCATTCATTAGAAGGGACCATATTGATCGATCAATAGGAGTCATCGCTCTAGGTTTGATAAATATACCTCAGATATATGCAAGGTTGGTTGGATACTCATGAATGTAGGATACGGGCCATTCTTTCCGCCAATCTTTGTTTTGATAATAGGCCGCTTACCTTGTAATAGTAAACGATCGCTGGATCCGCCGATCGAAGCTGTTGATCTTCATTGTGCAGTTCGCTCGTGCACCAGCTTTTATTGAAGAGTGAGAAGAGTTTGGTGATGTCTGTTAGAATTTTTTGTACCCGAATACACCCTCCAACTATTTCCCCCCCAACCACGGCATTTTTAAATCCCCATGATCTTTGTTGCCTCTCTGCTGCCGTGGTAGTTGCGTTCCTCTGTTTATCTTCTTGCATGTTGTTGTTGAACATTCTGGCTTGTCCTTGTGCACATGCCATTGCACAATGAGGTAATCATTCTAGCTGGACCAAAAATCTACAGGTACTAGTTGGAGCAAGGGTACCGACCAGTAGACTAGCTACGGGTGGTACATGTAAGTAGATAGCTAGTAGCTAGTAGTCTCTAGCCAGCTAGCTAGTACACTCACTGTACAGCAAAAATGTCTAATTGGCATCAAACTGCTTTGCTTTTCCTTCAGCTGGCTAGTAGCTAGACTACTAACTCAGCTGGCTGAGATCTCCTTGGAGCCTCACGCACTTCCGCACCATCCTCAGTCAAACAACCTGACTGGCTACTGTAACGGCTCTTCCAAAATGCAAGATCCAAGGAACAAGAGCCAATCAATGAGAGAGTTGGAGGGAGTGACGGTCTCGTACTTGCTAGAGATGTTTGTCATTGCCACAGTATTGTCGGTCCTGCCAGGGCCAGTAGAAAGGAGATATGGCGCACCGACAGACTGATAAGCTTTCTCAGACCGCACGGTACCATCACTCCACGCCCCAAGCTGTTGTGAGTTGTGAAATTGAGTTTCTATCTCGTGCAATGAGCGATAAGCGAGCGACGCGCACCCGACAACGCTTGTTGCGCATCAACCTTCTGGTGCACCTGGAGCTCGTAACGCACACCAACGAATGCCAAGGAAAAGCAACGACGACGATAGCATCACTATTTGGAAATTCGTTCCGTGTTGGCAGTCTTCCCGGTTCGGTCACAACGTACCATGGTGCTCCGTCGTCGGCCTTTGAGTTTGGGCCGCATTGTGGTGCCTTTTCTTCTGCTTGTCGTTGCTTCCTTGCATCCCGACGCATTGGCATCTGCAGTGCCGATCAACGATGATGTGACTGACAGCAGTAGGGACCACGACGGCAGCGATATCCACAAGTTCCTGATCGAACTGCTGACTCCATGGCTCGAGGACGAAAAAGATGAAGATTGGAAGCCACTCTTGCACCAGATAGACGCTGAAACATTGCACCAGACGATGGAGAACCTTGGAAACAAATTGTTCACTTCAAGTGTTAGCCAGGCTAGTGATGACCGTTTGAGGGGACGACGATCCCTGATTCGAGACTGGACACCTTGTGGCTCCGTCATGAACGTTTTTACAGAAGAGCAACTTGCGGATATGGTCACGGATGAAATAGCAGGAATCCTTACCCCCACAGTTTCCGGCACAATCAACTTTGTCCTTCGAAGAGCTCTGTTTCCCAGGATCCGCCACGGCGTCAAGATTTGGAAGGTCTGTGGCAGATGTTCCGATTTTGGGCCATTAAAGGGAAAGGGGATAAGTTGCCGTGAAGAGGACTATGGCTATGAAGCCCTGCAGTCGGGCATCCTCATTGCTCCCATGCAAGAAAACAAAGACAATGGCAGTCTGTCGATTTTGCCACAGACCCGCCCCATCAACGTTCAAATCCCTGCTGGAGTTATTGTACCCAGTCTAGAGGATCTCAAGCAAATTCAAGTTATGGTGGGCGTCTTTTCCACTGCCATGTCAGGATTCTTCACCATCATGCCGGACAAATTTGGATACGCCGAAAGCAACGATTACTTTCGTAGTCTGCTCATCAGACAACCTGTTGTCACATCCATTGTGCCATTGATATGGAAAGCCGAGCAAATGGTTGCGCAGGAATCCAACTGCACCGCCGCGACGGCAGATGCTTTCTCACTGACCGGGTACAGTGAAGCGGGGAATGATGTGGTGTCATTGGGAGAGGCCCTGCATCGCATGTATGAAGACAGTGGTATCATCACTGACAGTGGAAGTTCTGTAATTTCGGTCAATTCAGGAGGGGGTCCCATGCGACTGTCGAGCGTTGTCATTTCAGACTATGTGAGAGACCAAAACGATGGCAATGGCGGTGACAGCAACGATCCTATCCGCTTTGCCTTGTGGCGTTTGGCCGGATCACTCTCCACCACAGGTAAGTCAAGGAAATTGCGTGTCAACAACCACTGCTAGCTACGGCATCATGATAGCATCTTGTAGCTGACATATAAGTTTCTTCACGGGTCGTCCAGTTGAAAATGTGGCCAATTTCAACCAAAGCCAAGATATGCTGGTGGATGCTGCCGAACGAGGGCGATTCGTGCGGGGTGACCGAACATTTCACCTTGATTACCGGAACGTTTTCGAGCAAGGAATAAACGCAGAAACCAAAAATCATTTGCTCAACGCAGACCTAGTGCAAGCTGTGGAGGAAGCCATAGCCCGTGGAGAAAAGGAACCCTGTGTCACCAACGTCAACTCCAAAATTGACAAGTTGTGCAAAGCATTGCAGGATCAAGATGTGGCCCATGTAGTGGAACAGGCTCCGTACCCTGTGGCTATCTGCCATTCGAATCAGGACAAACATGTTTCAATCGACAATATGCCCGACAGCAGTCTCAATCCTAACATCGAGCTGTATCCAGCGTTTGGCGGCCATGGTGTGGCCATGGGTCCCTGCATCGCCCACATTCTGTTTCGCATGTTCACTTGGGGTAGCCGACTGTGGAGCTATGATTATGGACGAGACAAAACCATTGCCGGTGGATGTGATGCCGGCACACCGTGAAGTGGTTTACTGGTGGGATTTTAATAAGTAAGTATGATGTGGTTCGTAGCGCGGTACGACTGGGTTTGATTTGGAAAGTATGCAGAAGATGACGAGGGCAAACAGGTTGATTGAAAAGCAAATTTGGATGAAGGGAGACATCAACGATGGAAGATTTGACATGCAGAAGGAAGGGACCCCTGGAAGGCCTTGCTGTGTGTGCCTTGCAAATAAGGGTACCGGCAGCATAGCACACACATACGGTAGCTAGCTAGTACATTCGAACCTGCATAATGCCCAACATCTTTCTTAGAATAAGATTGACTTTTTGTGGTTGTCATCGTTCCTTTTGTGCTGACTGGTAGCAAGTGTAGGCCAAGCAACGACTTTGCTGGTGTTTCGCCAGACTCTACTAGTACCGGTACCTACTGTACAGGACAACAAGGGCAACTCCAACACACCAACGTTCTGCGGCGAGTCAATCAAGTAGCTTCAGGCATGGAAGGTGCTGTGTAGGGCCCGTCTCTACCCGTACAGTAGTACATGTGTGATGAAACACAAGCCCATTAGTTTGATGCCAACTGCATGATTATTGTTTGGATGCCAATGCCCGCTTCATTTGTATCCGAAACTCCAGGATGGTTCGTTTCCCAGTAGTTGTATCCTGGCTCTGGTCGTCCCGAGCCGCAAGAAGAGCCTGTAGTTCCTGTTGGTCTTGTTCCATCGTTGTGCTCCAGGCAAAGTCGTTCCAGTCCTTTTCAAAGACTTTGTCGTTCTGTTGGTTGGACGGCGGTAAAAATCCATAATGACAGAGCATTTCGACCGATGTTTCGCGTCCCGTTCCATAGCAAAGTGTGATTTCGGATCCCTTGGCAATGGGTCGAATGGCCTGCAGTGCGTACATGGATTCTTCTTCCAGTTTGGTTTCGAGGACTTGCAACTCTGCGTTGGCAGCGTCATTCTTATTATGATTGATCATGTCCAGATAGGGAATCAGGACGGTCTTTCCACTAATGGCTGTGGTGGGCGGTTCGGATGATGATTCTTCGTCATCATTATTGTTGCTGTGTTGTATGATTGGTTTCAAGAGCGAAAACCCTCTGGATTTGACAAGCCACGTGGCAAACTGTAATTCCTTGACTTCTTGGTCCTTTAGTAATCCTTGTGCGGCGGCTAATTGTTGTACGCTTTGGATTCGTTGTCGTGTCTTTTCGATAATGGGTGGGAATTCCAGTGCTTGTATCTGTGAATCGGTCCAAAAATCGGGAGAGGCGTCAAAGTGTTCGTGCCACGTGGGAAGACTTTGCCAATAGGGTTTCAAAAGACTGTTGTTCTCCTGGTGGATCAATTTCTGCCAGAGCCGAAATCCCAACTCGGCATCGGATGTTTCTGCCACGGAAATATCCGGGTCGACGGCCAGCGTGACGCAGGTTGGCACAAAGGGTATCCCGAGTAGATATTCTCCCGCTTCAAAATCTTGGGTGGCAAACAATCCCCTTATCTTGGTTTGAGGATGATACCCAATGGCCGTTCCTTCCATTCCTTCGCACTCGTGATGTTCCAGAAATGCCAGTAGATCTTGGACTGCCGGAGACTCATCCGGAAGAAATAATGCGGGTTGTAGTGGCTGCTTGGAGGCTCCAAAGCCCTTTTTAGTTGCTGCTGGCTTCTTGGTTTTCTTCTTGTTGGAGGATCGACTTGCCAGCGCTTCTACCGAAGAAAGAAGAGAAGAAGAAGATAACAACAAACAAACAGAATGAAAGAGCAAACAAGGAAGTCGCATCATTGAAACTTGGGATATTGATGGTTGGGGTTGTGGGCTGCGCGAGAATGATGGATGGTGGAGGGGTATCTTCCAGTCACGCCTGGTACCATTATTGAAACGAAGGGGCACGGCTCTTTAAGTATCTTTTTGAAATGCTCTTCCAAAAACGCAGTTTCACTTTGCTTTGACTTCTCGTCGTCTCACCGCCTTCCTCCATCATCCATCATCCATCGGCATTTTATGGGAAGCCATCAAGCAATACCACTCTCACTCTTATTATTCTACAGCAATTAATCCATTGCTAAGGCAATCTCTCTCTCTCTCTCCATATCCTTCTTTTAAGAAACTACAATCACCATGTTGGCTCTGAGACAGGCTTCCACGTTGCGACCACTCGCCGGTCAGTTAACTACTCGCAGTAATAGTCGTCTCAAAATACTACCCAAGAGATTCTCCTCCACCAAGACTGCTACTAATAATAATGCCCAAGGAGAAAAAGCCACCAAGAAGGGATTTGTCGAGTGGTACGAAGGCCACTTGGAATCTCGACCCGTCGTCACCAAGATGCTCACGGGATGTTGTCTCTGGGGATTGGGAGATATCGTGGCACAAGTGGTCCCTCACATGGCCAATAGCGAACCCGACAAGAAACCCTTGGAGTACGATTTTCCTCGCACTGGACGAGCCGTCCTCTTTGGATTTGCCTTGCATGCTCCAACATCCCATGTGCATTTCAATTTCCTGGAATGGCTGACCCATCGAGTGGGAGTCACCGGTTTGGGAATTCCCGTCTTCAAGGCTTTTATGGAGCAGGTATGTGCCTACCTATTTCTTGGTTTAGTAGACTACTTGGAGTGGTGTCAAAAGTTATACTATCTTTTGTAATTTGGATCTCATCATCTCTCTCTTTGGTGGATTGTCCTTCTTGACTTTTTCTTTTCAATATAGTTTGTCTATTGGGGTTGGATTTCCAATGCCATGTACCTTGGTGCCATGGGTGCCATGCAAGGACATTCCCCCGAAAAGATTACCACGAAAATCCACGATTCCATTTGGGGACTCATGAAGGCACAATGGGCATTCTGGGTACCCGTACAGTTGCTCAACTTTCGATTCATTCCCGTACGGCATCAGCTCAATGTCGTCCTGGTCACCAGTATCGTATGGACGGCTCTCTTGAGTTTCTGGTATCCTCCCGAAAAAGCTATCAAGGCCGAGGAAGAAACAACAACGACAACTACCACCGCCAAAGCGGCAAAAGAGGAGTAAGGGTTGGTTGGAATGGCGGTCAGATCCAAAACAACAATACACAATCGATTTTTGTTTTTTGATGGAATCGAATCAGAGTTTGAGAGAGAGAGAGAGAGTTTGGCTCCTAGGGATGGCAGCGTTTTGCTGCCAAGGAAAGCGTCAAGTCGCATTTTTAGGTGCAAAAAGTTGCCTGTTTTTGTTTTGTTTTACGGCTCGGTTGCATTGGTGTACGATAACGTAATTCATAGTTGTTTGCAAAAACATACATTATTACATTACATGTAGTTGATGCGAATATTCTGTGCGGTGGCAGTGGGTACCAGTACGGTGCCGCACAGTGCTCCATCAGGTTCTCCCCCGCCCAACTGACCTTCAAGTCACGCAAGAGAGGTCCTTGACGAGGTGTTCAAAGGGATGGATGTTAACTGCAAGGAAATTCAGGGTGACTGTGCCAGAAGGGCCTTTCATAGTTAGTTGTTGGAGGCATACCGTATTGCAGATCCAGGCCCAGAGGGACCTCGATCTATGGCCAACGGGGAATATCGGTACGATAGCTTCATCGCTGCTGGCGCCCATTCCGAACTTAAAAGCTAGTCAAGAATTCAATGCCTCTGTCAGAAAACCAGTTGCAAATTGGCGCGGAACGACCATTTGGCATCAAAGCCCCAAAGCCTTTACATCGCTAGCAGTCTCCGGACAGAGTCTCACGGCAGTTCACTGAATGCTGCTCCCATCTGGTGGATGGTCGTCCAACAGCCACCATCCATGTAAGGCTCATCAAGTCTGACCAAGTATTCTCAAATCAAAACAGGCGCACACGTGTCTCTTCTCTTTTGCCTGCGAGGATTCGAGACGATATACTTAGTACCTCCACCGGTGCATGCACCGTATGTGTGCACCAAGCGGCATTTATCTCTCAAATTTCAGCCGCTTTGTCCACCTAGATAGGCGGTGGTGTCTTCCCATTCCTTGTTTGGTTGCAAACTGTTGGTTGATACCAGTGCTGACTGGTGGTGGCACGCTCAAGGCCTTCGGAGTCTTTTGCCAGATGAGCAATGGTGGCTCTCTTCAAGTTGCCCAAAGAATCTTGAAACATTCGCTTCTGACGATAACCGCGACGAGCACCCACACCAAGCAACACAAGCCCTTCTTACTTCCTACACCACTTCTCACAGCTCTTCTCACCAAGTCCGCTAAGTAGTATTGCCATTCCTATGTACTGTGGCAGGAACGTTGTGGAATACTAACTAGTAGAAAGTTATGAGAAGAATATTATTTCAAAATAAGACAGTAACGTCGTCCAAGTGTTGGTTTGCTCTGGTTTTGGTGTTTTGCTGAGTTGCCCCAACATATTCCTTGCCCGTGTTTATGCATTTGATGCAATATATGACCAGTTTGTGTCTGCAGCGGTTGCCGTACTAGTATCAGCATTGGCCATTTCTTTTCTTCCCTGGCATGCCGTTGCATGGTTTGTTTTGGGAGTCAGTGGAGGAGACATCTTTGGTGAGCTTCCTTGACAGGTCACCCATGGACATCTCTCTCAGGTTTGTGAATTGATGGGAAGACATAGACGTTCTGATCTCTGATCCATTCAAGGCCATGGCTCTTCTTGAGGTCGTTGATTATCTTGTGTATTGGGGTTGTCCATGCTTCAGTATAATACATCCATTTACAGAACGCTCCAGAGTGCCGGACATGCAAAAATAAATGTCGCCACCTATCTAGGTACCTCGATTTCCAGAACGTACCGTACCGTTCATGGCAAAAAACAGACTTCGGAGTTACATGCTGAAACGGGACACGCAAGGGGTTCCACGTATTTAAAAGACCACCGCAGAGAATCAACTCCCGTACCGAAACTAATTTAGCAGTGATCAGGATATGCAGGCGGAGCCGTCAACCCGATGCATCACAACCGCGACAGGGCCAACACTTCTGCAATTCAAATGAAGCACACCAAACCATCAGCATAATTCCTTTACCATCGCTCTCCCGGGCCCGGATTGAATCGAATCATTCAATCATTCAATGTGATGTGCTGTCAGCACTATGGTTCGCCTTGCTTGGATCTTTGGTGGTTCGCAAATCGATGTCGTGGATTGATGCTCTGTTCATTCTGGGAAGGTCCAAGCACACAAAAAACAATTCAAGTTATCTGCAAACACAAGCATCGTTAGCTACTTTGAAATTGTTCAGTGCGGATCAAACATGAACAAACAATCTTCCAATCCAACGGGTCGTCGTCAGACGATGCTGGCCCTCATTGTTGCCCTCTTCGCAGCTGCGTTGAGTTGCAAGCCAGGTATTTGGTTTGGAGCCTTGCAATCAACCGCCGAATTCATTGCACATGTCCCCTTGTGGCTCGAGCCCCCCAAATTTTCTGTCGACGATGGCGTAAAGGCTCACATCTCATTCGAGTCCCCGAACACACCGATTATGGCAGCAGCACCCGAGATTGACCAGGTTGCCGTGGAAAAGACGATTTTATCGGCTAGAGATAATCTTTTTCGTGCAATGGACAGTGATCAACCCGCTTGGACGGATCCGCCACAAATGGGGTACGGATTTGAGTCTATTTACTTTTTCATGTTGAAAGCTCTTGGAAAGGTCGAAGAGTCCAGTTTCAACGTGGATATTTTTCGAAACATTGTCGTTGGTGCGCAACTTGAAGATGGTTCTTGGACTCAGGTCCCTGTTGGAGATCCTTTGCAGGGTGGGGACGTTGATACCACAATCCTGGTGTATTGGTTCCTGAAGAGTGTCTGCAACTCGGACTGCGACTCCGTGCTGAACTCAGCACGCGAGTTTATCCTTCGTCAAGGGGGTCTCGAGGGCGCCCAAACAATGACCAAGTTCAAGCTAGCCCTGTTTGGCAAGTATCCATGGGAGCAGACTAGTCCTCTTCCCATCTCTGTTTTGCAGAACCGTACATTCTTTAATGACCAGATCAAGAGAAGAACACTCGATAAAACTGCCCAGTGGGTGCCACAGCATCTCGTACCCATGGCGTACTTGCGCTACAGAAAGTTGGTTCTCCCGTTTGGGAGCGACCTGAGCGAATTATTCGTTGATTCTTCCAACCTTGTCCCTATCCGACCTGACAGTGGAAGGGATGGCCACAGTTGCTCCGTTGCTGATCTTGAGGGCCTTGTTGAACAAGTCTTGAGTTTCCAGCAACCCCTGGGCTCGTTTGGCGCATACACAGCCGCGACAGAGCTCTCGCTGCTCGTCCTTCAAGACTACCAGAGGCTCATTGATGAGAAGCCAGAAATGAAAGAGGCTAGCAGGAGGGGATTTGAATTTCTCGAGCGCGTCAACTTTGAAAACGCCAAGGGCTCTCTCTATCAAGGACCAGTGATGGATGGAACGTGGTGGGATACTTTGCTAGCCGGTTGGGCCCTTGTCGAGGCTGGGCTGGAGCCCACCCTTCTCGAGCCAACCATGGACTTGCTCCGATCAGAGGCGTTGCAACCAAATGGAGGCGTCAGCTACGGCCGCGACTTTGAGTACGCCCCTGATGCGGATGACACATCCATCTATTTAATGTTGCAGCGCAGTGTTAATAGTACTGTGGATGGAACTGTATCCATAGCCTGGCTGGAAGCCATGCAGAATGCTGATGGAGGGTTTCCGGCATTTCATGTGGACAGGACACCTTGGTGGACAATGCAGAAGGTGTTTGAACTCACGGGTGTTGCAGACTCTGCCGAGATCTTTGATGTTTCGAGTGCCGATTTGACAGGTCATGTCTTGGAAGCGCTTGGTGCCGTGTACACCAAGGACCACCCGATTGTGTCACGTTCCATTGAATATCTAAAATCCACACAGACAAGTTTTGGAGCCTGGGAAGGCAGATGGGGAGTGAATTACATTTATGCAGTTGGTGCCGTTGTCCCGGGTCTTGCCAAAGTTGGCGTGGATGTTGGAAGCGAACCATGGGTTGTCAAAGCCGTCAAGTGGCTGCTGAGTCATCAGAATCGTGATGGTGGGTTTGGAGAGAGTCTGAAGAGTTATGATGACGAAATATGGGCTGGTGTGGGTGCATCGACGGTATCTCAAACTTCGTGGGCTCTCATGGCGTTACTGGAAATGCCAAGGGGCGTTTCAGGTCTGGAGGAGGCCATTGACCGAGCCGTACAGTTCTTGTTGAACAGCTTTGAGGAGAATGGCAGCTTTGTGGATGCATCCGTTGTCGGGACTGGTCATCGTGGCATTGTGAACTTGCAGTATCCAATGTACGCCAAGGCTTTCCCACTGGTGGCCCTCTCTCGATACCAACACAAAAGGAAGGCTCAAATTTAGATGTCAATGATGTAGTTCTATATACTCAGATGCAGGTGCTAAATATATAACATACATGTACTAGTATATTCGTTTTTCTTTTCTCACACGTGCGCATTTGTGCGGGCATTAGGTAGACGAAGCAATCATAGTGGTACCAAGCCATCTCAGGTCTCTACGCACTGCCGGCACCGTACTCATAGCTTTGGTCTCCTTTTCTCTTTTATTTGAGTTCGTCCGCTGGTGTAGCTGCTTTGTCTGCTTTCTGCCTGGAGCGTTCCTCAATCGTGCATGACTTATATCGAAAACCGACCCTAATTTTGGGTCGGATTTAGGGACGGATTCCCCTTTAGGGTCGGGTTTCGAAACCGACCCTAAAATTAGGGATGGATTCTGAAAAAACGTCCCTAATTTAGGGACTGGTTTCGATTTAGGGTCGGGTTTGAAACCCGTCGCTAAATGGAAGCGGGACTGAGTGGTAAATACATTGAAATCCGACCCTAAAATAGGGTCGGGTTTCGAAACCGACCCTAAAATTAGGGACGGATTCTGAAAAAACGTCCCTAATTTAGGGACGGGTTTCGATTTAGGGGCGGGCTTCAAAACCGACCCTATTGCTACATGGAATTAGGGTCGGGTTTCAAAGATTTAGGGTCGGATTTAAACTCACCCACGATTGAGGGACACTCCTGACATTTCGGATCCACACCTTCACCTTCAAATCTTCCGATGAGGCGATCCACGAAGTGGTCCACGATAGATCATGCCGTGGAAGTTTTGAGTTCTGAAAGATCCAAAAGATCCATTTTTAGATTTTGGACCTCCCGCAACGATCATTCGTCTCACTCAATCATCCACAACAATCAATATAAATACAACTATGTTATCGACTTGGTCTCATGCCGTTCGCCCACTGGTGGCAAGAAGGATTAGTGCTGTCCGTCGCTATTCCAGTGTCAATTCAGCCGCTCTGGCGGAACGAGTGCAGCGAGTCCTAACCGCCAAAACAGAATCCGGATTGACGTATGATGATCTGGCTGGTAAATTGGGCGTTACCAACACGTATGCCGCACAATTGTTGCTCGGTCAAGCCAAGTTGAAGCCTGACACAGCCGAAAAACTCAAGGCGGCACTTCCGTCGATTTCCGCTCTGGATCTACAGGCCATGCAGTATGAATTCCCCATGCGAACATTTGACGATGATCTCCAAAAAGAGCCGAATGTCTACCGCACCTACGAAGCCATCATGCATAATGGCGAAGGTATCAAGGCGATCATCAATGAACAATGCGGTGACGGTATCATGAGTGCTATTGATTTCTACCTTGATGTGGGCACGACAACCGGAAAACACGGCGAGAAGCGTGTAGTGATCACCTTTAATGGCAAGTTCTTGCCATTTATTGAACAAACATCTGATGACAACGGAGCCAAGAGTCCAAGAGACTAGCTACACTTGCTACTTTAATAGTGACTGAGTCAGTGACACAATCCATAATCAGAATGACATCCTTGCAGAGTTTTAAAACGAAGTAAGACACAACATTTTTCGAAATCATCCCGGTACGGCCTCTTTTGAAATGTGGGGTATTCTATTCTACAGTTGTTAGGAACTTCCCAATGAAAACGTCTCCAGGACATGCCGTTCATCATGATCAATGTGCATGTAAGGTTTTCGCTCGCAGACAAGCTTGGCCTTGTCGATTGTTACGGGCTCGTCAAAGAAGGATGAGATCCTTTCCTTGACATGTGTTTGAAACTTTGCTTGCACTTGCTCGCCTGGTGTTGTGGGAACTTGATGAAAACGAAGCACTGTGGAATGAATAATCCCTGGAATGGAAAGCGTATCTGGTTCAATACCCGCTCGAATCAGTTGCTTATGGCGGGCTTTGGTTTCGGCGTTGATGCAGATGCGCATTTGGTCCATACCTCCAGTGACATCTTTCCACAAGAGAATCCCGGCTCGTTTCCCAATCTGCGCTGAAACTAGAGACAATTGCAAGGGCACATTGGGCCATTCATCACGCTGCGATGCAGCCTTGACAAGATTTGTCCATTCCCTCGTCAAAATGTCTTGTGTGGCCTTGTCCGTCAACGGTCGCGTGAAGGCATGACAGGTAGCCACTGTGACATGGAGATGCTGTGAGGGATACAAATACACGTTGGGGATCTGTTGATTGTTGTTGTTGTTCCAATCCGACTCGTCAAAACATTTTTGAATGGCTGGAAGCAAGTTGTTGCGATAGGCTGATTGCAAACTCTCGGAAGGGACCCATCCTGCACAGACAACCAACCCAAATGTTTCTTCTACTCCTTCTTTGCCATTTTGCAAATCGATCATTCTCTGGATAAATTGGTCCCTTTCAAACGCAACCGCTGCCCCGTCTGGATCATGATTTTGCATACAAAATTTGTTAATTCCGTTGTGCTCTCAACTACAAGCACACATACTGTACACTTGAAGAAATGCTGTTGATTTACCTTGAGGAGGTCTCGTCTCTGGTAAACCCTGTACGACGTGTCCTTCCAGTTTCCAAGCATATCCAGCGTTAGAGACGAGGTGTTTCTTGACCAAAATGTAGTCCGTGTCATAGGTAGAAATGGCAAAGATCGAAATGCCAGCCTTGGCCAACGGCGCAGTCAGTTTGTTCAGAATACCCGTGAGACCAAAATCCAGGGGCCCTTCCACTTTGAACAGACCCCAGTTGCTTTCGCATTGTTTCTCATCCTCACAGATATCATTGGGGACATTGGATTGCTCGCAAACAAGGGAGAGTTCCTCATCGGTCTTGGTCAAGTTGTAGAACCGGCTTCCCCAGAACCAGTCCGGTGGCTTGGTGTCAGGACCGAGACGAACCACGGCATAAGTCCCTTGCACATGAGATATCTTCAGCTGTGGTTGGGTACTCATAGTAGCAAACTTCGTTGTTTGGAAAATTCTTCGTTGGCCGATCCTGGAAACGGAGAGTTGCGGTCGGATCCTCGCAGTATGAAACCTTCTCGTCAGACCAGTTCGGAAAGCACCCTCTGACGATAGACGCTTAATGGGCGGGAAAACAAACAGGGTTGCCTTTCCTCCTTGCAATGAGCAGAGCATTTCCGGAACAACAGGGGTGGGTGTTTGGTTTGAGAGGATCTGGTGCAAGGAATCTGGAAAATGGGGATTCTCAAGAATCAGTTTTGGTTTTTTGCTGATTCTTAAGAATCACCAGGCACCCAGTATGCTGTCCAGTATGCAGCCTATCATAGCAATATGCACTTCATAGCTAGCTAGCAATGCTATCCCCTGATACTATCTGCTAACCAACAACAATCTTTGCTGATTGGAACAGCCTTGTAATGATGTAGCAGTGATGTTACAACCATTGCAATGGAGTCTTTCTTGATTTTTACCAGTATTCCCAAGATTCAGCATATTTGCATGGAGGATTCTTAAAAGAATCATCATAATTTGGAGAGGATTCTTAAGAATCAGTAAAAATTATTCAATGATTCTTAAGAATCAGCAAAACAATAATTTTGCTGATTCTTAAGAATCATGGGCTGATTCTTAGGAATCAGTAAAATGATTCCTAAGAATCTTATTTTTCCAAGATTCCTTGTCTACCCTGTATATGATTCTTAAGAATCATAATTTTCCCAAGATTTTTTCCTGATTCTTAAAAGAATAATCTGATTCTTAAGACTCCTCGTAACAGATCACCATTCGGCTTTTTTTCAGCGTTCGTCTCCTGTTTCCTCATGCAGTTACATGCAATCCAGCCATTGTAGCCAGTCGAACATTGTCAATCCAGCCATCGTAGTAGAGTTCATCGATCAGTGACAGTGGCAACAGTACTGAACACACTCAGGTTCGACTTTGCTCGCTGCACTCGGTTACCTCGCATTGGATCCTTATACCGAATACATGCACAAAACCGAATATTGTTAATCCAGCCATTGTAGCCGGCTACCGTACAGTTACATCGGTGGCAGTGTCAACAGTACCGAACACACTCAGGTTCCGCTTTGCTGGCTACGCTCCGTTGCCGGTATCTTGCATTGGATCCTTATGACGAATACATGCACAACCGAACATTATGAATCCAGCCATACATGCACAACCGAACATTATGAATCCAGCCATTGTAGCCGACTGCGGTATAGCTACATTATGAATCCAGCCATTGTAGCCGACTGCGGTATAGCTACATCGACGATAGTGGCAACAGTACCGAAAGTTCGGCTTTGCTCGCTACGGTTACTGGTACCTGGCATTGGATCCTTATGACGATTACATGCACAACCGAATATTGTCAATCCAGCCATTGTAGCCAGTTACCGTAGAGTTACATCAATCCGTGACAGTGGCAAAAGTACCAAACACACTCAGGTTCCGCTTTACTGGCTACACTCCGTTACCGGTACCTTGCATTGGATCCTTATGACGAATACATGCACAACCGAACATTGTCAATCCAGCCATCGTAGCTAGCTACTGTATAGTTACATTGTCAATCCAGCCATCGTAGCTAGCTACTGTATAGTTACATCGGCAACAGTACCGAACACACTCAGCTTCGGCTTTGCTCGCTACGCTCCATTACCTCACCATTACAATGAGTACGGGAATAGTATCAAGCCAGGCGCTACGAGCACTGTTCCCGCAGGAAAATGGATATCGACACAGAAATCACCACCAAACCACTAGGAAATAACAAGGAGGGATGAATCCGGTCCGAGGATCCACTCTCCACTGTGCTTGTGTGTTGTCGTGTAGCCTCCTTCGCTTGACAGCTGTTGCCATTTAATGACTCGACGACGATCCATTCAGGCTGTTGGTAGGGCTGGAGTTAACAGTTTCTTCCGTACACATACCTCCGTAGCGGTAGCCTCTTCTTCCTCATGTTATTCGGAGCGATCAATCGTTCGTTGGACCGCGACAATGGTAATTCATCGGCCGTCAGCAGTACAGCAGAGAAAACAACAAATAGATATGAGTTTTGTTTTCTGTGCTCAACTGCAGACGACCGGAGACTTACCATTGTTTTTCAAATTGCACCAACTTGGCCGTCATGGGCCAAGAACTGACTGCCATCCCAAAATGGTACAATTTCAATGGGGATGGCTTTCCAATCTGCACCAGAGAAGGACGGCTTGAGTGAGGCTTGGATAACAGAGGTGCGAGCGATCGATCGATTCGAATAAATAAAACAACTCACCTGTTGATGGCCGAGACCTGACTGTCTGCCCATGGTCCATAGAAATGAATGAGGGATGGCTTTCAAATCTGCACCTTCAATAACACTCTTGATAATAGACTTACCTCGTATCGTTGATCCAAAGATCGAGTCAACAATGGGATTTCTTCGGCCGCGTCGGCAGTGAGAGAACAGAAAGTAACAAATGAGTATGTGTTTCTCTTCTATTCTGGTACTGAGGAAAACCGGAGACTTCTTCTTGTTTCATCGGTGGCCGAGAAAAGAAAACCTTCCCGATGTGGTACGATTTCAATAGGGATGGCTTTCTCGTCTGAACCCGCTTGATAGTCACGGTACCAGCTAGCTAGCTAGACTGTACAGTGGCAGAGGTGCATGGAGTTTTCACCTTAACCTTAGTAACTTCAACGGTTCTTTATCCACGAATCAATCTAAATATTTCGAAAGAGAACCTGTTACTTAACGATACACATGACCGTTGATTCTGCAACTGAAGTGCGGGTACACTAATTTACACAGTAAACGCGAGCGAATCGATTTCAGAGAGCAACTGAGGGGGTAACCAAAAGGTGCGTCGTCTCATGGAGACGGAACATACCGTGAGGACCAGTAGGGTTGAGGATAGCAAATGAGGCTGATGCCGACCAATCACTGATCTGAGCCACAGAAGCTAATAAGCGCACTACTGTACTAGTATCATGCCATGACAGCAACCAACCAAAGCCCAGACGACGATCCTTCCCCCACCACGGCCCAGCACGATGCCGCTCGGCAAGCCTTGGATGCGTACATGCAAGACAAGTTAGGCGCTGCCTCGGAATGCCTGGGGCGCTGGAAACGAGAACAATGTTGTGACAAGTCTCGTTTTTTGTACTGTCCCGAGTGTTGCAGTCTTTTGGTCCCTCCTTCCGACCGACCGGTTGGCTTTTCCAAACCGCTACCATTCGATATTCATTTTATTCTGGACGATCGACGGGGGTCGTCTACGGGCGTACAGCTCATGGCCCTGTTCCAGTCGATGATGCAAGAAGAAGAAGAAGAAAGCGACAATAAACACTCGACGATCCAAATGTTCGATATTACGGAGCATTCTCAAGATATTCCACCGTATGAAGAAAATGCAGAATACCGAGAAGGAACCTATCTGTTATTTCCAGGGGAAGGATCGGTACCATTATCTTCAGTTCTAAATAATAATGCGAACGACAACAACAAAAATCCGCTGAAAACCCTGGTACTCATGGACTGTAAATGGTCCCGGCCAAGTTCTCGGTTCCATCCTTCGATTGCTTCCCTGCCCAAGGTATCCTTGGACCATCCACCCGAAAAGTCCTATTATTGGCGTTGGCACAATACCGGAGCCGGAATGCTATCGACGGTTGAGGCGCTCTTTTTTGCATCCTGGCAGATTTGTTCGTCGAGTAGTAGTAGTATTGGAAAATGGACACAAGACCAATGTCAAGAAGAACTGGTTCGGCTGCTATGGTTGTTTCGTCTGCAACGAACCATTATTCAAACCAAATACGACAACAACGAAGTGAACCGATGCAATCCGTATGCGCCCTTTACCGAAGAAGGCAAACAGTTTTCCAGATTGCTTCGGAAACAAAAGTAACAAAAAATAATTCTAAAGTAAAAGAGTACTTCTTTCTTTTGGGCGAGAAGATGGGCTCATCACAAAACGGCAGGTGCCATTCATTCATTCATCTATCTATGTGCCATCGTTGATTGTCATTTTCATTTATTTCTTCAATCTGTTGGTTGTGTTTCTTGCTCATGCTGTTGTTGTTGTCCCGCACTGTACTGTGCTACACAGATATCCGCCCGTTTCATGAGCTGTACTATTCGGTTGGACAATTGTTTCTTGAGTGGTTTCAAGTCGGCATGTTTGTTGGAGGGAACGGCATCGACCTTGGAGGCAAAGAGATCCAAATTGTGATTGACACGGGCCATGAGCTTGTCCAGATTTCGTTTGGGTAGATTTTGATTCCATTGTTCCAGTAATGTCGCCGACGAAGCACCATCGACACTGTCCAATTGAGCTCGTTGATAGGCTTCTTCCAGACGATCCAGGATCTTTGCTTCGCCATCCAAGGAGGCTTCCACATCTCGTAATGCGTGGAATTCGTCACGAACGAGTGGGGGATACGGATCCCCTTCCCAAATCAGCCACAGTGTTCCTTCCCAACCGTATTGAGAAACACATTGATACAGATAATACGTAGATGTCGCGGCCACTGTCGTGAATGCGAGTGACACAAACGACGGTCGCCAGGAAGACGGGTTGTGGTATGTCATCTTTTCAATTGTTGCTTTTGCTTTTGAGAATTGAGAATGAGAATGAAACAGCGAGAAAGATGATGAAGGGTTGAGAAGAAACACATTAGAGTTAGAGCTGACTTCGCAAAAATCTTCTTCCACTTTCCCTGCTGTCACAAAAACATCGACACTCACAGCAACAGCCAAGGACAGCAACAGGGCTTGGAAGGAAGTTGAAGCAACTGAATTACTAGCAAGCACCATGTCCCCTCAACCTTTCACCTGCTGGAAAAAGTTGTTTGCCTTGCTGTTGGTACTTGTGGCACAGCTGTCACACTCGTTCCAACCGATATCACCTACTGCACCACAACGCGTGGGGACGACAGCACGGTATACATTTAGTAGCAGCGAAGACTATCCTGGTTTTACTCCTCCACAAGGCTACCAAGAATTCCAAGAATTCGACGAAGCTATCGACGACGACAATCGACTATCCGATGAAGATCTCGAAGCCACCTTGACTCCCTGGGATCCACTCAAACCGCAATTCAATACCGTCCACTTGACGGGTCGAATTGGCAACGACCCGGAAGCACGGTATTTGGACGAGGGCAAGGTCGTTGTCAATTTATCGTTGGCTTGCAGGCGAAAATATCATTACATGGAACGACAATATCTCAACATCAAATCGGGAGACGAAGAAACCGACTGGTACGGACTCGAGATTTGGGGACTCACGGCAGAATTTGTCGCCAAATACGTCGAAAAAGGAATGCGAGTGGGAGTCATTGGCAGTTTGCAAGAAGACAAATGGATTGATAAGGAGACACAGGAACCACGCAACAGAGTTAAAGTTGTTGTGAGAGAGTTTGATATTCTAGAATCAAGAGCGGAAGGAGACCTAAGACGTCAACGAAGTGGCAGCAACAACTACGGCAATAATAATCAATACGGAAGTGGTGGTGGTGGTGGTGGACCTTCGTCTTCCTCTGCTGGCACTGGTGGATTCTTTGATAGTTAATTATTAAAAGAAAGAAGATATCCGTGCTCGTAGCTAGCTAGCTAGAGCTAGTAGTTGCGGTGCACCAGTACACTACATAGTGGCAAGAAATGGTAGGCTATGTTGGATCGGTAGCAGTTGAACGTGTGGTGAAGGAAACAATGCACTTTTAAAGCAGGAAAAAGAGAAAACTAAGAGTTTGATGTTCCTTCCGGCTGGGTACTAGTACAGTAGCAGGTTTGTTGGCATCGGTTGTTGCCTAGAGAATATTAGCCTTAACCCTTACTACGTATCTTCCAGAGTCGGCTATTAAAATATGATAGTCTCAAAGATCCAACACGTCACATCACGGTTGATGCCTTCACAAAAAGCAACGGCCACAATTGCTCTCAATCAACTCATTTAATTTCATCTTTCCATCCCGTTCGCAAGCTCAAAGAAACTGTAATCACAACGATCGTCGGGAAGAGAAACTTCACAATCAAGAATGGCAAAGTGGACAGTCGGGATTCTGGCAATGCAGTGCCTCACTGCCTCTGCTTTCTTGACAAGCGCACCAAGAACAACCGCAGCCTTGGCACGAAGATCCTTTCGGACATCATCTGCCTTGGGGGCGACTCAATATCTTCTCCACTATGATTACATTCCGGATGTGCTCGAAAAACGGGGCCCTTATCGAGAGGGACATTTGGACCTGGCCAAGAAACTCATTGCGGAGGGAACATGCTTGAGTGGTGGACCCACGGGCGAACCAGGCATGGAGGTGCCTTCCGGAGCCCTCTTTATTTTCACAGATTTGGAGGCGGCCCAACTGTTTGTCAAGGAAGACCCATACACTCAAAATGGCATTGTGACAGGACACAGCATCAAGGAATGGAATGTTGTGGTTCAAAAGGAATGATAAACTAACTAAACTGCAACAATAATTGAATGGTTAGCAGCTGGAGGCGTGGACGAGGATAGCAACAGGTGTGAGGCAGGGAAAGAACGAGAATACTTGGTACTCGTACTTGGAATCGGTACTCGTTGAAGTCTTCTCAGAATTCAATGGCCGCCATAGGGCATCGAGTCAAAACTTCAGCTTTTTACTACTAGTTGGCTGTTCTGCCACGGCAATGCCCATGCCATGAAATAGTGCAAGCGCCAAAGATACTGTCCCTTAAAACGTCCACGTTTTTGCCACAAGCTCACAAAGAGATACATGTAGCGGTAGCTGGTGACTAGCTAGCCATAGCCTGGCTACTCTTTACCGTAGTAGGTGCTCAGAGTAGTATCTTCATCGGCCAGTTGTCGCACACCATGCCAACGTTTGCCACGTTGTTGGCACTTCGACCATCGCTTCGCACGACGGACCTGATCACTAAATCTTTTTGCGGCAGTACGTGAAACGCTTTCAAGAAGCTTGCTGCTCTTCATTTTTCCCAGACACCTACCGTACCCAGCAGAACCCTCTCAACACCAGCCAAAGAGGCTCGTTGCACAGAGGACATGGGTTTCACAAGCACAATACAGTACTGCCAATAGCTTTATGACAGAAAGCAATTGGCTGTTCTTGCATGGTAGGTGGTATTTACTTCTGGGAGCATTGAGAGAGTTGTTGACTGACCCAAAAGAGAGAATCCCCAGGTTCACTGCCTGCTGATGGTACCGGTACCGGCCTTCTTGGTTGCTTTGATTCTGAAGAAGCTGAAGAGGTAGGTAGTTGACACTGAAAACTTCGGAGTTGCCAGTGTCAACTTTTGTAGTTGCATGAGGTCCTTGCGCCCTTCAATCAGCTAACTTCTGGCTGGCTAGCTAGCAAGAACTGCGAAGACCAAGGAGCTTTAGCTTTCGACAATTGTCCCTACTAGCTAGATAGCTATCTACTAAAATTAACTAGCACTCTAGCTAACCAGTTTGGCATGAGAGCCCATGATTGGAACTGCGAAGGTCTGTACGGTTGTGGATCGAACGAAAATCAGTCATGCAGCCAGGACATACCGTTACTCGGCGGTGCGGACACAACGGAGTTTCAGTGAACCCACGAGTGGCGAGTCCCAAACAAAAGCAGCTGCTGCTCGAGGGAAAGTGCAAAGCTTATAGAGGCGCTGACGAAAAACCGAGCGCCTTGTATCTCCGGCAGTGCTCTTCTTCATCAGAGATCAGTGAGGACGTGTTCCCTTAGGTTTAGGCCAATACGTTGTTGCGTCTACTAGCATCCAGCTGAATGTCGTCTCCTCTTCAATACAACAAGCCCAAGGCTGGATAGGTGGAGCAAGAGTCGAGTCAATACCACTAGCTAACTAGAAGTAGATAAATTAATTGTCCAAAAGGAGGACGAACAAAGTGGATCTTCAGGAAAAAGCGTTCGATCCTTCGCCTTCCTTCCAACGCACCGAATGCCGACCTGTTTCCAGCAACTGTCTATTGAACGAGTCTTCAGGTTGCTCTGCTCCTGACGAGCAACAAACGAAGGAACTTCACTATGAACAACGACGGCGAGAATGGAGGAGGCGGGGGCCCTCATAATATGCTCTATGGCCAGCCACAACACCTCCAAGTGCCGCCGCCTCAACAACAGGACGCCAACTATAGCACAACACCCGGACATCCACCGCAACAACAGCCTCAGCATGCTATCCCAGGCACAAACCCGACACCCACTTTTGGAGCACATTCCATTTTGATGAACAACGCCACTGCTGGAAATCGACGGAGACCGGGGGAAGATGATCCTCCTCCCGATCAGTTACGGACGGGAATGCAGCCAACGCCTCTCTTCGAACGGCTTGTCACTGAAGAAGTGCAAGAACTCAAAGCGTATGCCAGGATTATTGAAAATCAGAATCGAAGATTGGCAGAGCTAGAGAGAGTGCATGGTGATTTAGAAGTCAGATTAGAACAAGAGTGCAAAGCTAGAATGAGACTGGAAGCCACATTAGAGCAACATGAACTGGCATGGAATGAACGCTATTCCAAGCTGGAGAAAGAGAGGGATCATTGGAAAGAGGTTGTCCAACTGGAGCAAACCAAGAATTCAAGGCTTATTGAACAAGTAGTACGGAAAGAAAAAGATATCCAAAAGATGCTCCAACGAAAGGTACGTCTTCTGCAGTGCTTAGTGCACGAGGAAAGGCCCTGAACATGTAGCCTCACTCAGTGCCTCACCCACCCGTTTAATCACATTCAGTATGATCAACCACCACGAGAAGGTGCCCACTACAATCAATCTGGCCGAAGCTTCCGGCAAGGCCCCAATGAGAAGGAAAGGAGCATTACACCAAACTCCTCGTCCAGATCACCTTCCTTGGATCAACAGAAGAGCCCACATGAGATTCTGTTCGACAATGGACCCGCAGAGGCCGTAAGAGTGAAAAATGCCACGCACAGTCTGCTTGAGTTTTTCGGTATGAGCAAATAAATAACTCACGACACCCGCCACGTTGCTCCTTACCTTAGGCACATCCGAACAACGACCCGGACAAGCCAAGGAGCACGTCGCCGGAATCATACCGGGAGGGTTTCATAGAGGATCATCACTGTGATCTAGACGCAAGCAAAAAAAGCTTAGTTCTTGGGAGCCGCGTCTGGGAAGACACGTTGACCAAGTCCAACAGCGAAATTCTCGTCGTCGACGAAGCGACTGTGGCGGAACCAGCAACCCCGGAACGCCGACCTCTGGTGGAAAACGTCGAGGATACCGAGAAGAACGAGGAAGAAGACGGCGGCGGCAAGCCCACATCTCGACTGTCAGACTCGAGTAGTGCACTGCATCGTCTTTCGGCGTGGTCGTCGTCCATGAGATCTTCCATGATTAGCTTCAATCCTTTGAGCCGGCCTGCACAGGAACCACCACCCGATTGGGAGATACCCAAGCCTGGATTCAAGCACGCCGAAACGCAAACGCTGATATAACACACACGCACCCTGGTGGTGCCATGTCTTCATTATTGCAACAAATTGGGTTCGTCTAGTGATGTCACACGACTATTAATAGTGTGGTTCGTGCATTTTGTGTCCAGCATGAACACTCTGTGTCAGCCTGACTTACCTTCCTGTACAACAGTGTAACACTTACTAATGCAATACTCAAACATTTAACTGTATAGGATTAGATATAGCGAAGTTTAGGAGGTTTTAGTGTTAGCATTGATGTTTATATCCCAAACGCTCTTTAGCAGAAGAACCCTAAGGTAGGTTTCTTGTCTAGGTCAGAGCGGCTTCTATCATTCTTGTTTCATACTCTTGGCGAACCCCCAAACTGCCATGATCGAACGCGTCCGTGTCATGGCTACGGTAGCTAGCTAGCTATTTGACTAGCGATATGACCTCTTCGGCCGATGCAGCAGGCGTCCATTACCGCTGAACCCCCGGAGCCTGCTGGGCGGAAGGGGGTGGTGTTCCCATGGCAGCGATTGTAGCTGGATCCATCCATTGCTGATGGTTCGTAGTTTGTTGTACTTGTTCCATTTGTTGTTGTTGCTGATGTGGCTGTGGCTGTTGTTGTTGATGTGCTTGTTGCTGCTGTTGCTGGTGTGCCTGAGGCTGTTGATGTGCTTGCTGATGCGATGGTTGTTGATGCTGATGTGCCTGATGTTGTTGATACTGATGTGCCTGGAGTTGTTGATGCGATGGTTGTTGCTGTTGTTGCGCGGGTGCCGGAGCCGGTGGCTGCGGCTGTTGCAGTTGCTGATGTGGAGGAGCCTGCAGAGGTTGCCCATGGTGGTGCATCGTGTGTTGTATAGATTGCTGCATTGTGTTTTGAATTGGTTGTTGATGATGCTGTTGAATATGACGTGGGGGAGGGGGCTGCTGTAGGGGAGCAGCAGCTGGAGGGGCAGGAGGTTGCACTGCAATATTTGTGCCTACGGTATATGGAGCCCCAACCGGAACAGGAGCCCCCACGGGAACCGGGGCAGCTACAGGCACTGGATTGGCAGTGGAGACGTGATGTGTTTGTACCTGAGTTTCGGGTGGATCTGGAGGTGGAACCGGCTGGAATGTCAACTGAGAAGGATCCCATTGTACTAGATGATGGAGCGCATCAGCTGCTGAAGCAGCATGTGGAGACTGAGCATAATGAATCACGCCAGCGGGAGCAGCTGGGGTTGCACTAGCAGGTGATGAATCGAGCATGACGGAAACAGTATGTGGTGGTGGCGCTTGTGCCTGTGGCGCTGCTGCGGGCTGTGGGGCGCCAACGGGAACTGAAGCTGCCATAGCCTGAGCTGTCTGCTGTATGGTGGGTTGATTCATCGTCGGATGCATTTGTGGTATCTGCGGGACCTGAAAGGCTGGTGCTTGCTGCATGGCAGCCTGCATCATGGACATGTCAGGTCCAGTCATAGTTGTTGTGGTTGGAGCCGGAGCTGGAACATGAGACTGAGGCAGATTGGCAGGAGCGTTCTGCCCTGGTGTGACCCTAGGTACAATATCAATCAGGAAGTCATAGACTTCGCTCTCCCCTACAGCTGCATGCAAGTCCTGTCTCTGGAGTGTTCTTCTTCGATTCCTCTCGGTATGTTGCCATGCTCGAAACGAAAGATCCTTGATCAGTAACTCACATGCCTTACTCATCAACACGGGGGCTTCTCCAGATATCATGAACTTGATGTTGGTTCTCTCTTGGTTTTCTGGGGCGCCTTCAGCCCTCTCGCGCCGCAGTCGTTCTCGCTCCAGCTCCTGCATTATTATCTCTTCACTCTTCATTATCTTCTTGACACGCGCCAGAGGCAGTGACTGTATCTTCCAGTTCTCTGCCGCTGCAAGTGATGTGAGAATAGAGGCGTCAAGTGAGTTATAGCCGTTGGTCGATCTCATCTCTCGCACGGAACCAGACACTGAAACGAGAATCAGCCTTCTTACCCGGATCAATATTGGCTATCCCCTGTGTTGCCTCATTCCACATGCCATCAAGATCTCCATCAGGCCCTGTTGGTGTTGCCATGATCGCACCAACACTCTTTGATGGATTGATGTTCTTGCCTTTCCGCTGGCTCTAATAATCGCATAAATCTGCTCGACTCTTCCTACCAATCATCGTGTCTCGGAAAGGATACCATGTCAACTTTGGCACTGTCACAAATGCTACTTTTTTGTTAGCAGTACCTCGGAGACGGATGACATCAAGCAAGCTCCCCCATCAAACGAGGGGCCAGCCACCTTGCCCCGTAATGAATCTGGCCAGCGATAGCAGGATGGAGGCAATCCCGAGAAACACATACGTACCCCCTTGCTTGAGTGGACTACCCATGAACCAGGATGGGGTAAAACATTGTATTTTACTGAATATTTATACCGCTTCTTCTACTACAGACACCTTCAGTGACGTCAAGCAACCAAACCGGTTATGAGTCAGGTCAAAGTGCTGATCTTTCAGCATGCCTTGTTCATGTATACCGTATGTGTTATCAGGCCACACCAACACCAGAAGGCCTCTCCACTACTACTGGCTACAACTATCTACTACCGTACAGTATTGCTCCCACTACTAGCTAGAGCTAGCTAGTAGAGGTCTTACAATTACTCAGAGTATGCATACTAGTAGTGGGTGGAAGTCTTTGGTTCCAGATTGAAGATTCAGTTGAACGTCGTCAACCAGAAGGGCTCAGAAGCTGCCTCGCCATGTTGTGTTACAGTACCGGTAGCAAGGCTTCGCCCCCCAAACTGTTACAGGTGCGGCTTGAGCTTGATTGCATGGTTGGGTTGCTTCCTGACGATGGCTGAGATAGCCGCTGAGATACTAGCTAGCTAGCGTAGGGATAAGAATGCTGCCACCCGCAAGTGCAACATGAGCTCAAATTGAAGGCAACAGGCGACAACAAACCCCGATCCCCAAGGAGTTGCCAGTTGATACTCCGCGTCTCTGGATGTGCCAGCTCGGAGGCTTTTGGAACGGCTTTCGAGAAGCAATGGCTGAAGGTCGCAACTCTCTCACTTCTGTGTGCTGGTGCCTTGCTTGGCTCGACAAGGGGGAAAATCCAAGATGAAAAAGACTCCACTCCAGAGAAAGCAGAAATGTAGAAATCCTTGTATGTTACAGCGGAAGATAAAAAGAACCCGACGAAAGCTAATAGCTATTCTACCGTACTGTACATACATTACAGTACTGTAGCGGGAGCCCCAGACACTCGTTTTTGTCTTCTAACTGTCCCTCCCTTTTGCGAAGATTCATCGTCTGTGTTGCAAGTGAGTGTGCACACTCTTCTAGGTAGGTGCCATTGCCACTTTGCAACTTTTATTATTTGCTTCTTGACTGATGTGCCATTTTGGCTACATCTGACACTATAATCTAGCCAAGTTTTCTACTGGGGGCAGCTAGTCGCTGCTTAGGGGGCATGCCTAATCCATGGAGTGGCACACACAGTGCAGTGGCAAACTACAACATTCCGTGGGCCAAAAGAATAAACCCCCATGCGAAGCATCGAATGACCACCAGCCCAGTACTGGAAGCTACCAGAGATCCAAAGTGACAGGGAGCAGTGACATTAGGACTGAGAAGCCCATTACACAGGGGCCGCAGCTGAGTGCTGGTTTTCACACCAACCCCACTTGCCACTTTTGTGCTCTCCTCTTGGAAAGGGGACGGTTTTGCTTATGTTTTCAGTGGTTGTCTTTTGCGCCGTTTCTGAATCACACTTCATAGCCCATCATGTCACTATTAGACATTCCATGAAATTGCTGAAACTAAATTACAATTAGCCTTTCTGCATCTGAACGCTGCACCACTATTCCCAGATGATAGCTCTGATACGCTAATGGTTTGACCTGATTTTTGAACAAACAGGTTTTCATATTTACAAGCCTGGGTCTCTGTTCGTAAATCTTAATTCTTGAATCCCAAATCAACAGTACCATCAAGAATTCTTCGGGACCATCAAGAATTAAATGGCACGATCAAGGGTTCTTTGGAACTAACAACAAATCAATGCTACCATCAACAATTCAATGCTACCATCAACTATTCAATGGTACCATCAGAGAGACAGCGAGACCATTACTAATTGGTCCCCCGTTTCCAAATCTTTTCACATGATTAGTGAATATTTTGCCACATGATTACCGAATGAAAGTATCCTAACTGACGTTAATTGTAATAGACCCACAATGGTTAGACTTAATCCCTAATCTTTGGGCCTATTAAGTTATGAGACTACCTATTTTGCAATGATAGTGATGAATGCAGAATAGCAATGCGGATTCGCCAATGGTAGACAAGAAAGTACAAAGGGTCTATCTAATAGCTAATAAGTCACATTGTAACACATTTTTTCTAACGATTTGTTGTTGTATGTACCACCTGGATCAATTTTCTAGTTAAACTTCACAGCGTTGCTGGATCAAGTCCATGGCAATGGCACACTCAGAAAAACCAGCACCAACTTGATTCTCCTTATCACCATCTGCGCTTGTAAATACTGCTAGGATGGCAGGACAAATTCCTGTATTGCCAGTGCCCTGTAACGAATCACTTTGATTCTCATTTCGCATCACATTCAACTTTTCCACAGCCGCATCATACCACCCATTGCCATCATCATTGTAGCCACCATTGCTTGATCTTGATCTGGTAATACGACCATAAAACTGTTCATATGCCGCCTGATGATTTCCGACTTCTGCGTCAAACTTGTTTGAAGCCAGAATCTTACCATCACTATCACGCTTGCGTTGCTTCCGGCCACCTCGTCGATTTCCTTTCCTTCCTCCTCCGATGGAATCACTAGCCATGTTGCTAATAGCGCTTCCTGATTCTCCAATTTTCGCCTCTTCCAATATTTCCTCGGTCTTTGCCATGATGATAGTCCACACCATAGCCTCGTCAGAGACCCCCACCTTATCCATAAGAAGCTCTTTTGTGACCGGAGTTTTTCCGCTGTAAATGGAACCAACCTCAGACTTGGGAAGCACCATTTTTAGTACACGACGGACAACAAAACCCCACAATTCCTTCGTGTCACCACTAACACTATCATATTCTTTTCCAGGTTCATGAATCGACGCCAAAGCGCTGTAGACTTTGTCTTTGCTGCTCAACAGTTCGATGAGCTTGTGACTTGTTTCGGTTGTTGTTCCCGCAATGACCCCACTTCCGTCAACTGGTGTGGATTCCGAGGAGTCACTGCTAGTGGAACCTACAAAGAAGGGAAACAGATTTGTCGCACTGTACAGTGAGTAAAAGCCATTCGTCAAAAACATGGAGTTCAGATAAATCGAAAACTTACTCTCATTGCTTATAGCTCTACTCGTATTCTTAAGAATCGCTGTTTGATCAGCAACAGTGTGCAGCATGTGAGAAAACAGTTCACAGATCTGTCAACAACTAGTAGTATACTTACTGATGAACTCAGACTTGACCGCCTTAGTCATTTCCTGTCTATTTGCTGTGACACCGTGAATCACAAACCTTCCAATTGCCATCACCTTGCTCTGCCAAGCAAGCATTGAGGCTCATTTTGATATTGTTCAGATCCCAGATCGGTTCGACCATCCCAACATCTTTCATGAATGCCAATAGTAGGGTGGTTTGCATCAAATCTTTTAAAGAGACGTACTTGTATCTTTTCTTCAAATCTTTGATTAATTCTGGAATTCTTTCATGTTGTTTGTCGGTGATAACGTTGAACTTTAGCAAATCATCTCGTGTGTGGTAACGAGTTTGGTCTCTTTTGGCTGATACAACGAAAGGATAATGTTACATTCTTGTCAAAGTGTACGAGCGCGCGATCACAAACACCGCACACAACACATACCATTTAAAGCTATCACCTGCAGCTGCAAGTTCAGGCGCTGTAAGTCCTCAGTAGTAAAGTTTTCTGCCATCGTTGAAGCTTGATTTTTGTCTGTGAAGAAGTAAAGCAATCAATGAGCAATAGCTCAATTCGGAAAATCAGAGTTCCCTCCAGAACCTCTCCCCCAATCTTTCTAAGTGCGCGGGCCTGCTTATTGCCTAAATACTATGTTTTCAAAGATGCGGTCTGTTTGATCTTACAGCTGTTCAGAGGTCATGCGTGCTAGGTCCTATTGTCTACTGGTTTCAACGGATTGCTCATCAGACAGCTCTGCGTTCTCATGGTCCTCGCCATATTCTTCTCACATTTTGGCGAAATATCAGCTCTAGCAAAGCACGATGAGTGGAAATCCACGTGAGTTCCCATAGTGGTGCGAAGCAGCTGTGCTGGTTTAGCCAGGTGGAAGAATCGCTGTGACATCTGTATACTCCAACAGTAAGGTCAGCAGTGCAGCCATCTGGCAATACAGAAATAGCTGAGGAACTCTATATACCCAAGGATGATGCAGTTCTTCAGCCAAGACCAATATAGAAAGTTAGCTTGCCAGCACCAGCCAAATGAGATGCAAGAGAGAGCCAAAGCTGCATGGCTGAGTGCTGCCGAGGATTTGTGTTTAGTTGATTTTAGCATAGTTTTAAGAAGAAGAAGTAATGAAAGGATAGTTGACCAGATACAGCCTCAGTAGCACTAGTTTCCCCACAGTCGAAGCCTTCCTGTGTGGATTGTGCCAAGGCAAAGAGTAAGTTGTTCAATCATTGCTGTGGAGATTGAATAACAGTGGCAGCCAGCTTTGTGGCTGGCACATTCCCAAGTGCCAGAGGAGTGAGACCTCCAAGCGGAGCTCTCCACTCCCAACTCCTTGTGCATCTACCCTGACTGAATCTCATCGAAGCAAGTTATTCTCTCTCTTTGCCTGCTCATTACAATCAGAAAGACAGTATGTTCAGATGCTTTCACTGTGATCGTGAGTTCAAGCATTCTTCAAACCTTGAACAGCATGTAGAGTCCCTTATACCAGAACATCGAGAGTTTCACAGGACCAGCGCAGCGGAACATGGTGGGACTTTTGTTCGGCGTAGCAGCACCACAATTTCCATGCCCACCACGAGAAGAACACAGCGGCCAGTAATCGATATTTTCAATAGACCGGATCAAACTCATCAGGGCAACAATATAACAGATTCTGAAGCATTCAGGGTAAGCGCGAATTCAGCCGCCAATGAAACTGATTCCGATTTTGCATTGTTTGGGGCAGACGAGGTGGAGAATGAGAGGGAGAACTATGGAGAGAACAAAGAAATACACAGTGATGATGACGATAGTAAAGTTAATGATGGTAAAGTCGAATCCAAAGAGGGGGGTATTGCAGCCCCGACGCAACCAGCACAAATTGAAGGTATTTTTGAAGTAGAGCAAGAATGGGAAGATAGATACAATGATAGTGACAGTTCATCTAGTTCTTTTGAGTCGGATAAACCTCATTTTAGAGTTACCAGGGAATCTGCCAGGCAGGCAGCTGCCGTGGCTGCTGAGAAAGCAAAACAGCAACAACCGCCACTAGAACACAAAGTGACTGATATGACATCATTCCTTCGAGTGTTCTTAAACAGTGACGGCGCTGCTGTTGGATTGCCTTTTAGACGAGCTGTTGACGCTGTCATCGTCATTAGCAAGCATAGAAAGCTCTGTATCTTCTCGTTCCTGTTCATGGTCCGAATTGTCGGCTGTATCACTGGTCAGCAACAAATGGTAGTCCTGCATGGATAAACCGGGCCGGTCGATGAGAGTACCCGCCTGCTGCTCCCAGTAAATGTCATTGGCAGTAGACATACATTGAAGCACCTGTTGCACCGTCAATTTCTTGTCAAACGTGTTTTGCAGCGTGGACAATTTCCTGCCCGCATATTTATGCAATACACGGCTCTTAGCCTTATTCGCGACTCGATCCTAGATAGGGTTTGAGTTCGACTCATGACTGAGTCTTTCGTGAATAGTCATGAGACAGGGTTCTCAATGACCGCTCTAGTCATACTAGGTTGATGATGAAACGTCGCTCTAGATATTTAGCCAGCGTGGAGTACTTCCACGCTACTAGATAAATGCTAGACGAATCTTCCACGCGTTCCGTTTTTGGATCGTGGAGTGAGTTGGATTGCTACCGCAACCTACTCTATCACACTCTACAGTCTCCCGCGGGAGTTCAGATTTACGATCCCTTGATTGTGGATTTCTCTCGTTGATTAGTTTTCATAGCTTTCTAATCTCTCATAACTTTCATTCTCTCAAACTCAAAACACTCGAAAGATCTTTACACTAGCTTTTAGCGTAGTGCATTTGTTAACAAACACAATAGCTTTCAGCTACCCTCCACCTATTCCTCACCATGAAGATTGCCAAAGACGCTACACCAGCTTCGAGTCTAAGCTGCGCGACAAACCAATCCTTCCTCTCATCGACCTCGACGATGAATGCGAAATCGCGATTCTCGCTCTACCACCTTCAAACTTCGCACTGTTCCAGCAGATGCTAACAGCGCCAAGTACACCTTCAAGGTCCAAATCATCAATGGATCTGAGACTCCACGTCAGACATCAAGTGGGCTGGACGTATGGAGAAGGTCTTCGTCGGGCTCGCCATTGCTACGCCTGACGACAACATAACCTCCTCAAGGAGATGACTTCTAGCTCTGCCAAGAGCAGTTACGAATTAGCTGTGCAGGCCACCGTGAATACGTTGGAATGCCTTGCGCCAGATTGCAGTCACGCGATTCCTCACGCGACATACGTGGCGGTAAGACGAAGCCACTTTCCAAGCACTTTCCAGACTGCCTGGAACGGAGCAGCTCAGCCTGCTTTGGACGACACTGACATTACGTTTGCATCAATGCCTGTGTCGAAGCGGTTTGTCCCTACAAGGCTTTGAAAAGCAGAAACGCTTCATGCGCCGCAGATGCGTAAGCCGCTGATATGCTATCGGCTTATGTCAACAACCTCAGTCGGATGAACGCCGATGAACTTCCTCGTCTCCACCTTTTGGACCCAACCAAACGTTGAACCATGAGAAGTCATTGACATTGTTGTCATGGAATTCCACGCTCGTGGATGAAGAAAATGGACGAACACGACTTCGATCCTTCTTCAGCTCCTATCGGAGAAACCATTGGATTCTGCGAACGCATGGAATCTCCGAAGACTTTGACAAGGCGGTGATGCCAAGCAAGCTCCTTCGAAGAAGAACAAACGCAAGAAGTACAAGTCTACTCGCAACAACGACCACTCTTCTCAAGAACGAGAAAAATGGTGCGACTACCACGACCAGCACTCACAACACTGCTGACTGCATGACTCTGAAGAAGCTCAAGGCCAACTCAGTCCTCGTCTGACAACGATACAAAGCCAGCGTACAACAAGAACAAGACTTGGAAACGCAAGTCTGACGACGCCAAGACCTACACCAAGAAGAACTCTCTGTCCTCATGAAAAAAGTTTCCAACGCTGCGTAAGGCTGATCGCAAGAAAAAAGCGAATGCAACCATGTTGCCAAGCGCAAGTCAGACACTCCGACAACGAGGACGACTCCTCTGTTGGATCCATCAACATGATGACAAGAAGATGGCTGCTGTCGACAAGGCGCTTGTCGAATTCGACTTCAATCATTCGGATGGAGAGATCTCCGTCTGAGGATTAGGCCAGGATGAGTGCAACGGAACCAGTCCGATTTCTCATAACAAGTGATGAGATATCTCACTAAATAGTAAACAAGATTTGTTTGCAACTAACGAAGTCTACGGCAAAATAGATAATGCCTAGCAACTATCTAACTAGACCGAGATCTGTTAGCATCGTTACTTCGTCCATGGCCAATCACTCATCAACGTCGCAAGACAAGAGACCTCGAAACTATCGTTATGTTAGATTTAACAGACGAGAGAAAGGAAACAAAAACCGTACACTCTGTTGCTTACTGGATACAAGAGCATCCGGAACTTTAATTACGCAAACTCATGCTAAGAGTTCACTCATGAAGAATCATGGGGGCGTCCAAACATTACGGACTGCTTCTATGAAGGAATTAAAACCCCGCACGAAGTGTAAGGCACACTCGCGATTCCTGAGTTCACGATGATAGAATTATTAATGGAATTACAGCCACCAAGAAACTTGGGGGGCAAGACGTGATATAGGGCAAGACACTCTCTGCGACCCAAGAATCAAGTTTGATTTCACTACCATGTCTTGGGGTGGAACCAGCATTTTTCCCGGCGAAAGATGGCAATACCAATAGAAAAGAGAACTTCTCCATTTCCGATCCTGCAACTGTCAGCGACAATGCAGATTAGTCTCAAGAAGATTCTTGATACGACATAAGACAAAGACTAAGGAGATAGCCAGAGTCGAACCGTTAAAAAGGAGGCAAGAACTGCCTCATGCCTTCCAACCAAGTGCTTCGACCCAGTCGAGGATACTTTGGGAGAGTTGCGAATGGACGACTACGAAATAAAACTTCGTCCCGAGTTAAATCTATTATACTAGGGCTCACCCTACTCCAGGGTCCATACCAACACTCCCAAGAAGGAGGTTGAACGTCTCTGCGAGGCAGGGGTACTCAAGAAGGTGAATCGTTCCAAGTGGGCAGCACCAACTTTTATCATTCCCAAGAAAGAGGGATCTGTACGATTCATCTCTGATTTTCGGGAACCGAACAAACGGATCAACGAAGCCTTATCCTATCCAAAAAATACAGGACATGCTCTTGAACTAGATGGATTCAAGTGCGCTACTAGTCTAGACCTGAAAACGGGACACTACCACATCGAGCTGTTACCTCACTCGAAGCAACTATACCATGCACTCGAAGGAAAGCACGAGTACCACGGTTGCCAATGGGTATGTAATAGTCCCGACATTTTCAAAGGAAGATGAAAACACGCATGCAGGACTTAGAAATGTCCGTGCATACTGATGTATCAACTCATCCTAACGGACGTCGATCTAACGGATCGCGTGAATGGTAGATGACTTTTCCAAAAGACTTCAGGAGTCGGAATGGAAATCAACACTACCAAGACCTTCCTCGAAAGGAAGAACTGGAGTATCCAGCAATTGGACTACTCGAGAGGAAGCCAACCCTTAACTAAAAGATAATAGATGCGATCCAGCTATCGCTCTTCCTACCAACAGGAAGGAACTTCGTAGATTCATTGGACCAATGAACTACCAAGGGCTGCTCCAAGACAGCAGACGGAGTATCCATCGTTCTGAAACAGAGGTTACCCAGTATCCAGACCCGGTTGTCATGGACAGAGAACGTGAGTCCCGCGCAGAGGTCGAGAAGACTCTCGGGATGAACATGGACTTCGTCGCAAGTTCACGCGCGTCAATCGTGACAAGACTCACCACATCCGTTTCAAAGCAAACCGGAAATACATTAGGAACGTCGCCAACGACTTATCCAGAAAAACACCGATAAGGAAACACGGCACGTGTCCCTCATCAACACCATGTCAACGATACTATGATGATTCATCAGTATCAGAACCGTTAGTACGGTCAGCCAACGTATAAGGTTCTTACCACACAGACCGAGTAATAACAATGGCACTGACGCTCCGACATACTACCGCCAGTAGCGGCACAGTCTACCAACTTGGAACATAAGGTATATTACACCCATACAAGGCCTGATCCCCTTGTAGGATTGCCATCGTGCGACGCAATGCTACATCCAATCTCCGGGAGTGCCCCGCACTTTAATTCATATGTTCTCCTTGTCCGACTGATGTCGTGCCTTCCGTGACCCTTGTCAGGGGCGAATGCAATACACGGCTCTTAGCCTATTCGCGACTCATCCTAGATAGGGTTTGAGTTCGACTATGACTGAGTCTTTCGTGAATAGTCATTGAGACAGGTTCGCAATGACCGCTCTTAGTCATACTAGGTTTGATGATGAACATCGCTCTAAATATTTAGCACAGCGTGGAGTACTTCCACGCTACTAGATAAATGCTAGACGAATCTTCCACGCGTTCCGTTTTTGGATCGTGGAGTGAGTAGGATTGCTACCGCAACCTACTCTATCACACTCTACAGTCTCCGCGGGAGTTCAGATCTACGATCTTTGATTTGGATCTCTCTCGTTGATTAGTTTTCATAGCTTTCTAATCCTCTCTAACTTTCATTCTCTCAAACTCAAAACACTCGAAAGATCTTTACACTAGCTTTTAGCGTAGTGCATTTACCCGTAGTGTATGTGATTCTGTGTTTGTGTGGAGCATTTAAAATTGATTGTTGGTAGGCTTCTCTCTCTTTGACCAACAACTGGTCCAGTTGAACAAATAGGATGCGGCGGTATTGTGGATCTGTGTGGTGTACTTGAAAATCCTTTAGCTTCTTGCCCCCCCCCCCCCCGTTGATTGAGCTTGGTCCGCTGGTACACAGCAAATATAGCCTTGGTCGAGTTGAAGTGATGTAAAATGTGTTCATCATTTGTATCACTGGACCACTGTTCTGGAACTACAATGTCATCTGCTTGTAGTTGATTGCATATTTGTTGGTTTGATAGATGTAGTTGCTCAATAGAGTAAGCATGACAGTTGAAATTATTGTATTCGTTTTGAATAGACTTCAACAGATCCATTGCTGTAGCGTGAAGTCCCTTTTTGGTTGCAAGTTGTTGAACCTTCGAGTAGCGTTCAGATGCCGCTATGACTAGCTTATGTTGAGTAGCATCCCCCATGGTCTTAAAAGCATCATAGACAAAGCAATCACTGAACATTTGTAGAGCTTCTTGATAGCTTGGTGGACGCTCTGACATTCGCTCAGGATAAAAGGCGGTAAGGAATTTCATTAGTGTGCCTTCGTTGGTTGGATCCTCCATGAACCCAATGAGACCGGACCAGGAGTCAACCATATTCCTCATGAGACTCATTGCTAAAACAATAATGTGTCTTGCTTTTGGAAGATCATCTTTTTTTAAGCTCTCCATGATGATTTGTTCATAGCTTTGGTTCGTAAAAATTGAATCATCGGTAGTCTTGGCAGTCAATGGCACCGTCTTGTCCCCAGTCAACGGCACGATCACAGCATCAGCTTTGGCTTTAGCTTTGGGCAGACTTGACTCAGCTGTTCGAGCCTTTTTCTTGGTTGATGCATTGGTGGTTGAATCTTCCTACCGTCGTGGTAACTGAGAAAAGCCTTGCCAACTACCGTGATGGCACTCCAAAAATGCTGTTGATTGACCTCAACTGTGTCTATACTGCTTCTAGGCAGGTACCGATACACTCCAACTAGATCAAAGACTGTATGCAACCTTGCGTTAGACTGGTACGTATGCATGGATCGATCGTGGAGATCTTACTTGTTGTCTCTTGTTATTTGAGTCGAGTCGAGTGTTCTTTGGAAAAAAGTATCTTTGAGTCAACCCTGGCCCTAGCGTGGTTGGTGGAAAAAGAGAATTTCTCTTTTTTGACCAACCACGCTAGGGTTAGGTGCACATGGTTGCTCTTTTATAGGTTGTTCTTCTAAATCGTTCGCCGCTTTCAATGCCACAAAGTACTAATTAGAGATTTAACAACTACAACTACCTATTGACAACGCCATATCTACTCAAAGCATGCTTCCTCCTCTGAATCAGAGAGGTAATCAACTGCAAACATCTTGTCCAACTTGTCAGCTTGCTCTAAGAACTCTATTGCTTCGAGCGATGGTTTGTAGTCCCTATTATCCATGCTGTCAAAGTATCTTGCGGCTACCTAGCTAGCTAGGATTAATGAGATGACGATCAGAGCAGTTGATGTTCGTGCATGTATTTGTAAGTCGTTAGCTTTTGGGTTTCAAATGTGCAGTGCAACTGTGCAAACAAGTCAACGGCTACATGAAACAGCTCCTTAGAACGGTTTGCAAATGCAGTTGCTACTATTGTGCCATGGGATTGTTGAATGGGCGGTGGTATACCCAATGTCGATTGGTAAATACCATTCAGGTTTGATTTTTGATCTTGTAATGGTAAAATACCATTTGTTGGCTGGATTTAGATCGGCCAATGTGAAAAACAGATTGCTGAATGGGGATCCTGCCGTGTAATAGTGGTGCAGAGTTCAGATGTGCTACTGCATCTGCTCCATCCATCGTTTCGCCACTTCTTCTCTTGCCAGCTCTTCCAAACGAACGACTTTGCTACGGGAAACTCTTCTCCAGTAGCTTCCGTCGGTGTTTGGGTGCACCACTTCCATTTCCTGAGTTTTGTCGTCCACCAAGACTAACGTCGTCTTGTTTTGGACCACGAGTACTTCTCGATTTCTCAGGTTTTCTTCCGGTACGACAATGCCTAATGGAGCCAACGTCTTGGCGTCGTACTCCACTAGCTGCCCCCGGTGCAACCCCAGCACTTTCCCATCGGCCATGTGCCACCAGCATACCTTGTCGGAAGACATGTCCCCAATCGAGCCATCCAAATCCTCCAAATAACAACCATCTTCTTCTTGTGGGACATATGCCAGGAACCACTCAGGATAACTTTCGTCACTAGTGGTCGTAACACTACTAGACGATGGTACTTTCACCAATCGGCCGGTTTTCAAGTCAATGGTAGCATCTAGTCGAACTTGTGCTTTGGTATCACTTTCACTGCCATCACCACTAGTAGTAGTAGTAGTCATTGGAAGTCGAACATGATGGTTGATGGAATAGATCTCAATGCAATG